TGTAACCCAAGCAGCCCGCGGCTGCAGAGAGGGCCCCAAGAGAGCTCGCTGTTTGACCACCCCTCGCCCCCCGGGCAACCACCAGCCAAGTCTCCCACCACATGCCCTGCAGACCTCACTCTCGCCCTCAGCAGCCCTCCACCGATGTTGGCATGGCCCGGTGATGGGATTCTGCACACCTTTCTGGTCACTCTACGTCTTCTATAGCATGTGATAATGTGACAAATACTGCTGGGAAATCTCAGAGGAACACCACTAGCAAGCAGAACATTGTGCACAACAAGCTGTAGAAGAACAAGGATTACAGTGGAAACAGATGAACTCAGGAATAGAAAAAACAATAGAGAAAAGTCAACAAAACCAAAAGACATTCTTTGAAAAGATCAATAAAATTGACAACTTTTAGCTCTACTGAGTAAGGAAAAAAGAGAGAAGGCTCAAACCACTAAAATCAGAAATGAGAGAGGGAGCGTAACTATCAACCTCACAGAAATAAAAAGGAGTACAAGGGGATACTACGAACATGTGGGTACCGATAAGTCAGGTAACGGCGAAGAAGTGAACAAATCGCCAGAAAGACAAACTACTCAAACGGAATCAAGAAGAAACAGAAAACTCTAAATGGACCCGAACAAGCGAGGAGACTGAATTAGGAATCAATACCCGTCTCACTAAGAGTAGTCCAGGCTTACACTGAGGAACTGTAAAAATGCTTAAAGCAAAATTAACACCCATCTTTCAGAAACTCTTCTAAAAAACAGGAGGAAGAAACACTTCTCGACTCATCCTAAGAGGCCAGCATCGCCCTGAGAGCAAAACCAGACTAACACATGACAAGAAAAGAAAACCAAAGACCAATCTCTCTTGTGGACACAGAAATCCGTGACAAAATACCAGCAGACCAAATCCGGCACCATATATATAAAAGATTATACAGCACAGCCAAGCAGGATTTACCCCAGAAACCAAAGGTGGTTCAGCATACAAAAGTCAATCCCTACAATACTTCACATTAATAAAGGGAAAAAACCCACATGATCATCTCAGTAGGTGCAGAAAAAGCACTTGACATAATCTAACGTTTTTTTTGTGGAAAAAAAAAATTCAACAAAACTAGGAATAGAAGGGGCCTTCTTCAGTCTGAAAAGGGCATCTATAAAAAATGCACAGCTAATATCATTATTTAATGGTGAAAGAAAGGATGTTTTCCTCCTAAGATCAGGAACAAAATGAGCTCTCGCCACTTCTCAACACTGTACAGGAGGCTCCAGCCAGGGTAAGTAAACAAGAAAGAGAATTAAAAGACATCCGGATAGGAAAGGAAGAAGTAAAATTATCCCTATTTGTAGATGACATGATTTTGTATAGAAGAAATCCTAAGCAAACCACAAGAAAGTTATTAGAAGAAATAAGTCTACCCAGTTTTCCAGATACATGATCAATATACAGAAACTTATCCTAGCAATGAACAAACCAAAATAGAACTGAGAAGACAATTCCATTCACAATAGCATTAAAAAGAATAAATGACCCAGAAGTACATTTAACAAAGGTAGGGAAAAAAAAACACATACTCTGAAAACCACACAACTGCTAGAGGAAATTAAAGAAGATCTGAGTAAGTGCAAAGAAGCTCATGTTCATGGATTGGAAGATTTAATTCTATGACGATGGCAAGACTTCCCCCAAGTGATCTACAGATTCACACAATTCCTATAAAAGTCCCAGCGGGCACTTCTTTTTGCAGAAATTGACAAACTGGGGGCGCCCGGGTGGCTCAGTGGGTTAAGCCTCTGCCTTCGGCTCAGGTCATGATCTCGGGGTCCTGGGATCGAGCCCCGCATCGGGCTCTCTGCTCAGGAAGTGGGGAGCCTGCTTAACCTCTCTCTCTGCCCGCCTCTCTGCCTACCTGTGATCTCTCTGTCAAATAAATAAATAGATTAAAAAAAAAAGAGAAGAAATTGACAAACTGATCCTACAATTCATATGGATATGCAAAGGACCCAGAGTAGCCAAAACAATCTTGAAAAAGGAAAATCACTTCCTGATTTTGAAATTTACAACAAAGCTAAATAATCAGGACAATGTGGGTACTGGCATAATGATAGATACACAGGTCACTGAAATGGAACAAAAGTGAAAAACCTTAACTTTTGGTGCATTAAAAAAATTTATGATGCATTGATTTTGACAGACCTCCAAGAGAATGTAGTGGGTAAAAGTAAGTCTTTTCAATAAACGGTGCTGGTATAATGGGATATCCATGTGTAAAAGAATGAATTTGGACATCTATCTCATACCACATACAAAAATTAACCGAAAATAAATCAAATACCTAAATATAAGGGCTAGAGGGCGCCTGGGTGGCTCAGTCAGTTAAGGGTCTGCCTTCAGCCCAGGTCACGATCCCAGGGTTCTGGGTTCGAGTCCCAGTTTCTCCCTCTCCCACTCTCCCTGCCCCCCTGCTTGTGTGCTCTTTCTCAAATAAATAAATAAAATCTTAAAAAAATAAATATAAGGCCTGGAAATATAAGACTACTTTTTTCTTTTTTTTAAAAAAAGATTTTACTTATTTATTTGACAAAGAGATACAGTGAGAGAGGGAACACAAGCAGGGGGAGTGGGAGAGGGAGAAGCAGGCTTTCTGCTGAGCAGGGAGCCCAATGTGGGGCTCGATTCCAGGACCCTGAGATCCTGACCTGAGCTGAAAAGCAGACCCTTAATGACTGAACCACCCGGTGCCCTCAGAGATATAACATGTCTAAAAGAAAACACAGGTGCAAATCTTCATGACCTTGGAGTAGGCAACAGTTGTACATATGTCATCAAAGTCTTATGTAAAGCATATATCTGATAACGGTCTAGTATCTAGAATACCTAAAGAACTCTTTTTTTTTTGTTTGTTTGTTTTTTAAACTTTTTTTTTTTTAAGATTTTATTTATTTATTTGACAGAGAGAGAGATCACAAGTAGGCAGGCAGAGAGAGAGGGGGAAGCAGGCTCCCCGCTGAGTGAGAACCCAATGCGGGGCTTGATCCCAGGGCTCTGAGATCATGACCCGAGTCGAAGGCAGAAGCTTAACCCACTGAGCCACCCAGGCACCCAAGAACTCTTAAAACTCAATAATTAAAAGACAATTAGTCCAGTTGAAAAATAAGCAAAGGATCTGAATGTATTGTTCTCCAAGGAAGATACAGGAATGACTAATAGCACATGAAAAGATCTTCAACATCATTAATCATTAAGGAAATTTAAGAGATACCATTTTTACAACTATTAGCATGGCTAGAATAAAAGCATCGGGCAAGTAAAGTTTTTGGTGAGGATGTGGAGAAACTAGAACCCTCATACTTTACTGATGGGATATAAAATGATGTAACCACTGTCTGTGCAGAAAACCATTCATTTATTTGTTTGATTTTATTTTTAAGTAATCTCTACACTCAACTTGGGGCTCAAACCCACAACCCGGAGATCCAGAGTCACGTGCCCCATCAGCTGAGCCGGCCAGCTACCCCAAGTCCTTAAACATTTAAAACACACATTCACCATCTGACCCTGCAATCCCCTTTAAAGGTCTCTACCCAACAGAACTGAAGACACAACTCCACACAAATACTCATCCACGAATGTTCACAGCAGCCTACACGTGGGCACAACCCAAATGTCCATCACCTGACGAATGGGTAAGCACAAAGTCCCTCCACGGATGGAGTATTATTCTGTTATAAAAGGAACAAAGTACTGACACACGCTACCACATGCCATGGTACTTCTCACCATGACACTAAATGAAAGACAGCAAAGGTGGCCACATACTGTATGATTCTATGTAGGGAAAAGACAAATCCAGGAGCAGGCAAAGGCATAACCACAGAGGGGAGATTACAGGGAATTGGAGGCTCCAGGAGAAAAGGAGCTAACTACTAATGAGTATGAATTTTCCTTTTGGGGTGATGAGAAAGTTCTGGAACTGGACACTGTTGCTCAACTCTGTGAATAAAACACCCTGATTTATACAATATGAAAAAGGTATATTAGAACTCTTTTTCTGTTTGTTTTTTGTTTTTTGCAGGCTCCCCGCTAAGCAAGGAACCCAATGAGGGACTTGATCCCAGGATGCTGGGATCACCTGAGCTGAAGGCAGATGCTTAAGGGACTGAACCACGCAGGCACCTCTGCAACTTTGTTTTTTTCCAACAATTCACAAAGTAGGGACTAGCAGGAGTTGGAGTAGATAAATCTTAAGAAATCACAAGGTCCTGATTATAAATTTTAACAGAAATATACCTAGTATAGCAACCAGTCCCGTTAGATCTTTAAAGGATCTAAACAGTATTTAAATAGTGCCCTAAAATCAGGCTTCTGCTTCTAATATGAATGGAGGAACAGTCAAGAGGAGAAGAAAAACATGTAGGATACATGGTAAGCTGAAACATGGCAGGGGTTGGGCAGGGGACAGGGCAGAGGGGTTGGGAAACAGAATTTCAACCAACCAGGAAAGGCACTCACAAAATGCTAATAATAGACGGTCTCCATGACAAGATTTTAAGTGACTCTTAATTTCTTTTCTATACTTTTGGGTACTGTTTGATTTTAATTTTTTTATTTTATTTACAAGTAAGCTCTATGCCCAGCATGGAGCTTGAACTCACGACCCCAAGATCAAGAGTCCTACGCTCCACTGACTGAACCAGCCAGGTACCAATTTTATTTCTTTAAAAAACGATTTTGGTTTTGTAAAAAGTTAAAATATTTTTATTTTGAGAGGAAAAGTCTCTTAAGTGCTGACTCAGATCACCTTTAAGGAAGTGTTCAGTTTGCAGTTCCACAACTGGGATACCAATGAGTGAGCACCCGCGGGGGGCTGTCCTTCCAGGGACTCCTGCCTCTGCCCGCACCTGCGTACACAAGCAGGTGTGGCCCCGCTTCCAGGATCTGCATTCTGGCGGCCTCCGTCTCCCGGAGCAGCCGCCTGCGGTCAGCGCGGTTTTGCTTACCTGGACCGGGGGCTCAATCATTATCCAGGCCGGAAGCATCAGACTGGGGTTGAGAGGCTGGGTCCCCACTCGGAAGTACACGCCACCCCTAGAGTCACACGCCCAGATGTGCTGATTGCCACACGCCAAGCTTGTCAGTTTTACAGCTCCTGTAGGCAAGTAAAGGAAAAGGCCACACGCTAACTACTTTTGTAAAATGACGAATCCTTCACTTAATCTATGGACTTTGATTTTATCCTTCAAAGAAAGAGGGTGAGGCTGCCTCTGCCGTGGCTCCTGCCATCTGGGGTCGGGGAGGCCTCCAGCTGTCCCACCACCTGCCAGGCGCCACGTGGCGGCTCGCCTGCCTCACCGGCGAAGCCGTCAGGACATTGTGGGCACTGGGCCCCGAGCTAGGGAGCACAGGCTTAGCAGGTGTGGGGGCCTCGTCCGTGGCTTCCACACGTCTGTGCAGACCACCGGCAAATTCTGCATCTGCGGGGAGGGCGCTCCTCTTTATCGGGAACCCTCATCCCGGGGAGAATTCACTCAAAGTCGCTAAGTCTCTTAAAACCTCCATGTTTCTGTTCACACGTCTCCTGGGGGCTGAAATCAGTTTGTTTTTTTTTTAAGATTTTATTTATTTGACAGAGAGAGATCACAAGCAGGCAGAGAGGCAGGCAGAGAGAGAGAGGGGAGGAAGCAGGCTCCCTGCTGAGCAGAGAGCCCGATGCAGGGCTCGATCCCAGGACCCTGGGATCATGACCTGAGCCAAAGGCAGAGGCTTTAACCCACTGAGCCACCCAGGCGCCCCTGAAACCAGTTTTAAGATAAAAGGAAATGGGCAGAGGCTTTAAAGGGAAATTACACCTAATTAATAGTCTGCCTGGCAAAAAGCACAGCTGGTGGTGACCCAGCAGCTGCTGTGGGGCCAGGGGCGGCCTCACCCTCACCTGGAGCCCTGCCACAGTGACGCGTGGGGACTATTATCTCAGGTCACACACAAGGTCGTCATCAGGACTCAGACAGGAAGAGACCTGCCCAAGGTCTCAGGGTGAGGACGCAGCTGAGCCAGTAGGCAAAGGTCTGAAGTCAGGCCAGCCCGACTCCCCCACACCGGCCATGTGGCCTCTGGGACGCCAGCGAATGCGCAGATCGGATGTTCAGCCCAGTCAGTTTTGACAGACCCAGGGAACACACGTCCTGTCAAGTTACAGAACACTTTCATCGCCCCGGGAAGTTCCCTTGGGGCCCCTAGTCAATCCCCTCGGCTCTGAGGCACACACCACCCTTCTGATTTCTATAGCCAGGGGTTAGTTCAGTCCGGTCCAGAGGTCCGCAGAGACAACCACAGGTGCGCTCTCGTGGCTTTGGTCAGTCGTGGACCGTGTGCAGGATCCGTCCCCGGCGCCGCTTCTTTGTGTCGTGAGCACCGCCCCACGGCCCGCCAGTGCTGCACCCTACCCAGCCCCGGGCGAGGGACACCTGTGCCGCGTCTGCTCCCTGCGACAGTCATTCCTGTACAAGACTCGTGAGTGTGTGTTGTTTTGCTCGAGTGGTACCTAGGAGTGGATGTGCAGGGCCATGGGGGGGGGTGTACACGTGCCATTCTGCACGCCCACTAGCTGTGCGCGCCGCTGCCCACACCCTCACCAGCTCCTGGTCTTGCCATCTTCCCACGTCGGCCATTCTAGCAGGTGTGAGGAGGTATCGTGTCATGGTTTTAACTTGCATTTCCCTGGTAACTAATGATGCTGAGAATCTTGTAATGTGCTTATGGGGCATAATGTGCTTATCTTATCTTCTTTTATGACGTGCTTAATCAAGTCTTTATCCCATTTTTCAAATCGATTGGTCTATCTTTGGATGACTCAGTTCAAGGTTTTCTTTGCATATTCTGGACACAAGCCTTTTGTCAGATAAACTTTGTGCCTCTTTCCTCTCAGTCCGCGGCTCGCCTTTTCATTTCCTTGACTTTTTGCTGAGTTTGTAATTGGGATGGGCCATTCTGACTTTAAAGCGGGGGAGAGGGTGGCACAGCTACGTCCCATGGCCATGCTCCTGTCGGCCAGTTGTCACTGGGAGCGGACAGCAGCCCACGGATCTGCCCTGAAGCCCAGGCACGGATCCTGCTACGTGACGATCTCGCCGGGCGCCTTCAGTTAGGATACCAGCTGGAAAGCATTAACTGACCACAAAGACACAAACCATTCTCGGTATTCCTTTGTGCACACACCGAAGCTGACGGTGGTTTTTCCTTCCTTACTCTATTACAGAATATCCTAGCAGGGAGTTCAAACAGACTTCCGAGAGCTCTGACATTCCGCAGTGAAAGACGGGTACCGATCAAAATACAGTAACTTCAGCAGCAAATTACAGAAATAGCTGAGAAACAAATACTGATTTTAAAATGTTTAATGAAAATTAATTTTATGCTGGAGTCTTCAATCTGCCCTACTAGAGCGGACGGTGAGAACAGCTACGTGGTGACAAAGACACCCGGGGCCCGCAGCCCCGTCAGCAGTGACTGAAACCACCACCACCAGAACACGCGTTCGCATTACAGAAATACCCTTTCAGGACAAAAGTCAAGATGAAGGAACATACATGTCAGGACAGACAACAACTTATTCGGAACTGAAGAGACGGATCAAAGAAGAACACGGGTAACTGCAGGCGGCAGTTTCCAGCTCACAGAGGGCCCCCGGGCCGCCTGAACACAGAGGATCCTGACACTGCTCTGCCTCGATGGTCAGGACAGGGCCAGAGACTCCTGCCCTCCCCAAATGCTCCACGCCGTCCTGCGGTCCCTGCAAGTTAGGTGGGCCCCGTCTCCAGTCTGGACGATGGCTGTGGGCAGAAGCAATCTGCCTGCCACTCGTGAACTGAGGCATAAGGGAGCTGGCAGGGGGCCTGTCAACTGTCCCCGCTGTGGTGACCAGCACAGGGAAGCCATGGAGCTCCGCCACAGGACCAGCAAGCTGCCACCCAAGGGACACAGTCCTAGGAGACTGCAGCCAAAGGTCAGAACCAAGTTCGTGGCAGCAGGGAAGCAACATTATATTAAGTTGCTGATATTTCTGGACCGTTACTATGCTACCAGCCTGATGAACACGGACACACTACAATTTTCTTGCCTTTCCCTGATGTTTTTTCTATTAAAAAAAAAAAAAGTTTTAATTACTTTATTCAACAGAAGAGACATTTTCCCTTTAGGATTACTTTTCAACATAAAGTTTTGGACATAAATAACATTTATTTGGTGTTTTACTATTTATAAAACACTTTTCTGCATAAATTACTGCCTAATATAATTCTATTTGTTACCTGAAGGCAAAAACTGATACTAAATATTTCCTCATTAAATGCTGTGACCAGATAAATTAAATTACAAATTGCATTAGCTTGCTAAACATTCCAACATCTGACGGAATGCGTATTTACGTATACTGGGAAATGAAATGTTATCAGCATCTTAAATACCCGCTAAATGATGCAAATTTTCTTCCAAAAACTAGGACTGCAATAGATCACAAAATTCTATATTCAATCTCTAAAGCTGGGTTTAGTAGCCAGACATTTAAGAATTCTCTTAATTTAATCTCAAAGCAGCAACTGACTTGCTAATTTGAATAGGGGCAGAAAAGAGCGATGTTAGGTCTTAAACAGGAAATGAAAGATAGGAATCACATTCATAACTTGATACTTTGCAAAAGTCATCCCTGAAACTGAAATTTCTTTTCTTTCTTTTTAAAATATTTTATTTATTTATTTGAGAGAGAGAATGAGTGGTGGGGAGGGGCAGAGGGAGAGGTAGAAGCACACTCCCTGCAGGGAGCCCGATGTGGGGCTGGATCCCAGGACCTGGAGATCACAACCTGAGCTTAACTGACTGAGCCGCCCAGACGCCCTAAAACTGAAATTTCTGCTTGCAATGTAAAAGCTGGTGACATTCCAGACTTTACAAGAACCTGGCATGGCCGGCATGAGGTGGGTCGCACCCCCCCACCCCACTGTCAGCACCAGGAAGACGGGCTTTCATGTTTCATGTCGGTGAGGTCGGGATGCTTGTGAAGAGGAGGCCAGGACTGCAGAGAACAGCACAGAGAAATCACATCCCTGAACCAGATGGTGGCAACTTAGAGGTGGACTAACCAATTATCGCTCCTGTACCTGCCTGTTAGGCAGTTTTATTAGTGATTATCAATATCAAGGCCAAAGACAGGATCAAAACCCATATCCCAGGGGGGCCTGCATGGCTCAGTCGGTTACGTGGCTGACTTTGGCTCAGGTCATGATACCAGGGTCCTGGGATTGAATCCCGTGTCGGGCTCCTTGGTCGGGGGGAGCCTGCTTCTCCTTCTGCCTGCTGCTCCCCCTGCTTGAGCTCTCTCTCTCTCTTTTCTCTCTCTCTCTCTCTCTGACAAATAAAATCCTTAAAACAAACAAACCAAAACCAAACCAAAACCAAAACCCCTCATGTCCCAGAATTACTTAGAAATAGGAGCTACCAGTAATAACCACTTTCCCTGATGGTCTACTTTCCCTCTGGGCTTGGACGTGGACCCCCCCGCACCACCCCGTGTGTGCAGTCACCGCATGGGGTCAGCCTGAAAAGGCTGAAAAGTCTGTGACAGAGTAGGAGCAGGGCACTCGGCATGTGGGGGGCAAGGGCCCTGAGGAGACTTGGACTGAAGGAAGCCGGGGTGGGGCGGGGACAGTCTCCGCAGAGGCCTGAAGGAAGAAGAGCTGGGGGAAGGACAGAGAGGGGAGAACACTCTAGGCCATGGCAAAACCAGCGAGCACCGTGCACAAGGGGGCCTGGCATTCAGGGACGAGCCAAGGTTGGGGTCTGGTGGTCCCGTAGCTCAGGGCCCGGCAAAGACGACTGGGCCAGGCTGTGATGGCCTTGGGGGCCTCCCCGAAGCAGGCGCACCATGGCGCTCTTTCGTGCTGAGGGTTTGCCCCCCCAGCTGTCTTAGGAAGACAGCCTGGCAACCGTGGCGGGGAGGGGGGCACACGATGGCCGTGGTGAGAGGGGAGCAAGGATAAGAGCCTCAGAGACCCCCTGGGGCAGATGGAAGACACACCACTGAGGCACCGGCCTCAAAGAGCCACCGGGGATTCTGCCCTTTCCAGAAGAATGTGGTGGGAGAAGGGTAAAATCAGGAAGAGGACATCTGGGAAAGAGAAGTCTCTTATTGAACAAACCCTCACTGGCAGTCATAGCCCTGAAAGGCCGCACTTCCTTTCGGTGCCGTGAGCACCCCCACGGCCAATTTCTAAAAAACAACGAAGCATCCCAGTTAACCCCAGATCAGGAACGCACGGCAGCATGAACGCTACCTCCGTCACTACACTCTTTACTCACTGTTCGATGCCTGCTGCCTTATGCCAGCCCCCCAAGGGCGCTCCCATGTGGGGGTCTGGGCGGTGAGCACACAGCTGAACTTAAAATCTTCATCCCCTCATTTAAATAATAATTTACTAAACCACTGGATTCATTGGTTTGTCCCACAGGCTATAAAGACCATCCTTGGCCCAGCAACACAACACCCAGAGGTCCTCGCCTGCCTTTTCCTGCCCCCCACCCTGGCACAGTGGGAGGCTGGCACTTTCCCACCTCACCCCGTCTACCTCCTCTGCCTGACAAGAACCCCATCAACTCAGGACATGGTGCATTCTCCTACGTTTAGAAAATGGTGAAAGGATTCTTTCTCCATCATTTCAGTGTCTGCTAGCAACCCAGATAAATAAACAATTTACTACTGTGCTTCCCACCATCACCCCACCAGGCGCGTGGTTAGTTAGTCGGCCCCTGCCGGCTTGGGGAGCGATACAGCTCATGTGGGCCTGACAGGGACCCCGCGTGGGATACCTGCCCAAACAGCTCATGTTGACCCCGGATGCTTCTTTGCATCGTCTCTCTGTGGCGGGGGCTGCTACTCCCATCAGGAAGGTGAGAAGTTGAGGTTTAAATAAGGGAAGCTAGCAGCTCGCCCAGAATCCTGGAGCCTGCTCAGGATCAGGTCTCTTATACTGAGGCTTCGTCCCACCAAAGTGGAGTTTCTCCCCTGGAAAGAATGGCCGCCAGCCCAGTGAAGCCCAAATGCGCACCTCAGAGACCTGCAGGAATCGAGGCAGCCAGTGCTGGGAGGACCAGATTGATCCAGAAGGGAGCCGTGAGCTGTGGGCCCAGTGTCTGCAGGCCCAGGCAGAGCTGGTTCCTGCTCTGTGTGGCCTGTCAGGATGCCATCCACTCTGTACCCACTGTAGCACATGATGTCCTCTGACACACGGGGAAGGGACGCTGCAGGGAAACAGCTATACCTCTCACCCAGATTGTGCAGAAGAGCAAGGCCTCCCACATGCCTCAAGATTCAGTGGTGGGAGAGCACATGTGCCCTCGCCTTCAGACCTACAGAAGGAACCGGCAACATCTTCCAAACGGGTCTGGTTGGGGCTGCGAGAGAAAGGCCCCGGCCAGTAGATCTCTGGATGGTGGCAAGGCTTCCCGGGGCAGGCAGGAGGGTGCCCCATCACTGCACTCAGGGCCATGAGCAGCCACAGCTTTGTCCGGTCCGCCACTGTCAGTAATGGTGGCTGGCAAAGCCTCAAAAGCTGGAAAGTGATGGCCCCAGGGCTGGGATTAGGCTCAAAGGACAAGGGATGAGGTCAAAAGCACAAGTCATCAGAATGTCCCCAGGAAACTCCTATTTTTAGTATATGTGCTGCTGAACTGGGCACGACCCTAGACTATTCCCAGCTCGGGACAGTTTGCTTCTTCAGCTGTGTGCCAACCTCCCCCCTATTTAAGCTGGATTCTATCCAGGGCCTTGCCAGACAAAAGAACGACGATCCTCCTATACGGTGCCTTACAGGAGCCACACGAGCTGACTGACAGCAGCAGAGCCCCGCCTGCTTCATGGGATGGGGAGAGGCCCCTGGCAGCCGGAGACACAGCCAGGGGCTGCTGGAGAGGCACGCGCACACGTGTGTATGTGTGTGTGTATTTTTTTTTTAAGTTTACTTATTCAGTTATTTATTTGAAAGAGAGAGAGCATGTGTGTGAGAAAGAGTACAAATGGGGGTGCGAGGGACAGAGGAAGAGGGAGCAGCTGACTCCCCATTGAGCAGGGAGCCCGATACAGGGCTGATCCCAGAACCGTGAGATCAGGACCTGAGCCGAAGGCAGACACTTAAGGCGCCCCTATGTAAGTACACATTTGAAGTAAACCCCAAGCCCAATGTGGGGCTCACACTTACGAGTCAGAGATTAACAGTCACGTGCACTACCGACTGAGCCAGCCAGGTGCCTCTCCCCCTTCTAATGAGTACACGGGGTTGAATTCTCAAATACTAAATGCTCACACAATTCAACTTTACCACCAACCACACAAAAAACTCGGGTTGTCCATTTACCAAGATGGGACACTGTGTGGCAGGGGAGTGTTCCTAAGGCTTATGTGGACCTTCTGGAGTTGCCAGGAGCAGCCTCTGCCTTCAGACAAGTCTCTGCTATCAGACTAGCCACACATAAGCTGCCCTCGATCAAAAACCTGCCAGCAGCATAACCTAATGCCGTGGGCTGCCTCTACTATCTGGCTTCCTGCACTACCAATGAATGATTGGTGCATGGGTCACGCCCCTCGGGTGGCTCTGTAGCCTTTGAGGGGAGGCTCCGGAGCTGCCACCCAGAGACGCACAGCAGCCCCTTTGGCCGCTCGAGTGAGAATGGACGCTCGCTGGGCAGGGTTCTAGCTGCAGAGGGCCAGGAGAAGGGCTGCTGAGGCTGACGCAGGACACGCCTGTCCATCCAGGCTCAGAGGGCACAGAGCGATACGCCATGCTGAGTTGGACTGGCAGAGGCAGTGCCTCAGGCCGTTCTAGCGGCAGCTTCCTCTGAGCCTGCACGCCCTCCAAGCTGACACGGTGGGGAAGCATGGCTCCTGACACAAAGAAGAAGCCCGCTTAACCTGCCAGAGTGGCCCATCCACGTCCTGAAATCCAGCAACCCACACAGAGTCCCGTAAGAACGCACGCGAGCCGAACACGGGGGCCGTACCTAGCTGGGAGAGGTCCAGCCGCGTCCAGTGCATGCCCGTGGGGCAGCTCTTGGACAGCGTCCTGATGAACACCTGCCCGAGGCTGTCCAGGGCCCACAGAGCGTCCTGGCAGGCGGCGTACGCCCTCATCTCAGCGTCGGGAGGCAGCTGCACTGTGGAGGGGCGGGACTGCGCATCCTGGGCACTGACGCTGCACAGATCCTTGCTGCTCTGGCACAGCCACAAGGAGCTTCCTGTGGAAAAGGTTCGGGTTCGTCACTGACAAGATGCACCAGGGAGCCCTGGCCTTTGGGCGGCTGATGCCACTGCTCCTGGCTCCCAGGCCGCCACTGTGCACGCGTGCTCGACGGACCTGAAGTCAGAAGTTGGAGGCGCACCCCATGGCCAGCCAGTTAACACAGAAGCCTGAGATGTTCTAAAGGGAGGAAAGAAAGCAGGGCTCAGGAGATTTGGTGAAGGCTACAATGTCGGCTCAGTAGCTCTCACCCTGGACGTTTCATAAGGGCTGGGGAGTCTGACTTAGTGTGACTGGGGCTCTGGAGGGAGTGAGGTCAGCAATTCCTCAGAAGGATGGACCCACAGTTCCCCTGTTCTGGTCTTGGCAGGGGCGGTGTGGGTGGGCAGATCGGGGGGAGGCTGCTGGGGAGGCTCGGAAAGCTGGAAAGCATTCTCTCCCCAACTTCTTCTCAAAACCCACCCTCGCCTCCTCTCCACCATTTTATACAGTCCCTTAGACTGTTTAAATGAGTTTAAATGCAGATAGTCTTTGGGAAACTTCAAGTTTCCATCATAATATAGATCACCTAAAACTTGTGGCCAGATAGGTTTTAGAATTCACAACTTCTGAGGATTTTGAAAACATAAGGTCACGGGTATGCCGCATATCTAACAATAGCCTCGGGAAGCCAAGCAGCAACAAAATGCAGTCACGCTCCAGCCACAAAATGTGTGTGTTCGTGATCGATGGGTCAGCAAGTGACCCCACAGCGGTTCGGGCCAGGTTTTGCTGCCAAAGGATTTTGTGCCAATCTTGGGATATAACCTACAGTTTTCAGAGCTTACAGATTTCAGATTTCTGGTCAGAAAACCTTTTCCTGTACGGACAAGTGGGCCAAACTTGGTGGAACTAATCGCTCAAACTAACCAGCTGCCTCCTCTGAACCACAGGCTTCATGGCGACTTCCCATTCGACCCTCAGGGCGATCCTAGGAGGGGCCTCTGGTCACTCTGCAGAGGCGTCACCTGACTGCCCAGGCTCCCAGCTCGCTGGGTGCAGCACTGCCTCTCCTGCTCCAATCCCCATGTTCCGGAAGGGGAGGGGAGCTCCAACTGGTCACCAGGAGGTCTGCCCCTGTACTAACAGGGCACAACTGTGGGACTGAGACTAGCCAGAAGCTGTGAACCAGATTGAAAGAGGCTGCGGGGAGGTGACAGAAGACCTCACAAGGGGAAATGGGAAGACACCCCATGAAGGCTGGTGTCCACTGGCTGCAGTGCTGTGGACCTGTGACACGTCACTGGAAGTCTCCAGGGGCTGGCCCTAGTGGGACACTGAATGTTCCTCTCCTTTGGAATGATGCCCTGCTTTTAGATTCATTCAATGTCCCCACACCAGAGCCTTCTCTCCTGCTCAGGCCTACCCAGCTTCTTGGGCCTTGGCTCAGCCAACAAGGGCTGCTTATCTGGGAAGCCACTGCATTGTCTCTGAGATCCACACGGCCATGCCCCACCTCAATTAGGTCATGGTCAGACCATGGTTTTCACTTTTCAACTGCCAACCCACGCACTGTATTTCTCAACCAACCTTCCTTTGAGGGAGCAGTGGAAGCCAGCACAAAGGCCCACTTCGTTGCAGAAGCTGTCCCACGGGGAACAACATTATTCCAGTAAGTGCCTAGAAGGAACCAACAGGAAGTGTGTTAAAGAAGGAAGAAGAACAGAACACACACACACTCCAGAGCTTTAGTTCTAGACTACAACTGGTCTTCAAAACCTCTTACAGCTAATTCTAGAATGTCCTTAAATTAAGAGGTCCACGCCAGTCAGGGCTGTGAGGCCAGTCCCTTGTTCGTCCTCCTATGTGGACAAGCAGAGCCACAGTCTTGCCCAGGGTTGTGGCCGGGGTGGGGGGGCGGTCATGCAGAGGGAGGAGAGAGCTGGAGAAATTCACAAAGCAGGGCTTCCCTCACAGAAATGAAGCCCTCATGGGAACATGCGGATTATACCACCGGTCACAGATCTTGCCAGAGACCAGCATTCTCCACAGAGCAAGAACTTTTCCTCCAGGAAACTGACTATTCCCTCTTACGACATCCTCTACGTTTGGGTGGGTCTTTTCACTTAAAGGTGAAATTACGAACATAAAGAGCTCCATCTGCCCCTCCTGTCTTGTCACTCATCACACACCATCCAAACACTGGTACCCAAGTTGTTGGAATGACAGAGTAAAAGAAGGAAACTGACACAGAGCGTGCAGAATGCCTCCGTCACAAACACTTGATACACTGGCACCAAATTCTCTTCTGCAGTTGAGTCTTAAAGCTCTTCTTTCAGTGCTGGCTTTAAAATGAAGCTGCTGAGTGAGTCAATGCGAAAAGAAAAGTGATTCACCCACCGATGAGATTTCCTTTAGCGACATGGAACTCGTTCTTGCCCGAGGAGATCCAGACGCCGCTGCTGTGGACCCCGAGGAGGCTTGGCTGGCACTGCAGCTGCTGAGACCAAAACGCCATGCGCAGCTTATCCGCCACCTTCTCCACGGGCACTTGGGCTGCCGTGGCCACAGAGTGCGTGGCATGGATTATGGTCTGGAATAAGCTGCACTGGTCGAACACCACGTAGTCGGTGATGCTCACCTAGAGGGGGGCACGGAAAGATACCCTTCTCTCAGTGCGGCTATGAGTGCCTTCTTCTTCTTCTTCTTTTTTTTTAAGACTTTTCTTTTTATTTATTTGACAGAGAGATCACAAGTAGGCAGAGGGGCAGGCAGAGAGAGAGGAGGAAGCAGGCTCCCCACTGAGCAGAGAGCCCGATGCGGGGCTCGATCCCAGGACCCTGAGATCATGACCTGAGCCGAAGGCAGAGGCTTAACCCACTGAGCCATCCAGGAGCCCCTATGAGTGCCTTCTGTATGTGCGCCACCCGGAGCTAAGACTGGGCCCGTAACCGGCAAATACCTAGCACACGTGGGCAAGCACGCATTTGTGTAAGACCAAAAAAAGTCCAGCAAGACACTATCAAACCACTAATTATAATTCTGAGGGTCAGATTTAAAGGGACAGAAGAAATTGTTCACCTTCTGTTTTATACATTTTTATCCACCGTGGGTCTGTCACAACAGCAGGTATTATTTTTGTGATTATTTATGATCCCCCCCTTAGACCCATGAAGCCCTTTATTCTAATCAATAAGAAAGGGTCATTTCGCTTTTATTTATTTTATTTTTTTTTTTTTTAAGATTTTATTTATTTATTTGTCAGAGAGAGAGCGCGTGGGAGAACACAAGCAGGCAGAGCGGCAGGCAGAGGCAGAGAGAGAAGCAGGCTCCCCACTGAGCAAGGAGCCGGATGCGGAACTCAATCCCAGGACCCTGGGATCATGACCTGAGCCGAAGGCAGCGGCTTAACCAACTGAGCCACCCAGGTGTCCCAGGGTCATTTCCCTTTTAAATTTAGATATTTCCAATGGACAACAGAGTGCAATCCTTAGAATCGTAATATGGGTTAAAAAAGGTACTATAAGTAGGGTGGTGGAGGTACTTGATGACCTAGACCAGAACTGTCGATAAATATGTCAGTTCAACAGCGCAAACCGGGCCCCGCCCTGGACACGATTGGCACAGCCTGGCTCCGGTGTGCAAACCGCTCCTCTAACATTCCTGAAAGACATTTCTTTGGGGCAACTCTGAGGAATACCTCTCTCTTTTAAAGATTCTGTATATTCATTTGACAGAGACACAGCGAGAGAGGGAACACAAGCAGGGGGAGAGGGAGAGGGAGAAGCAGGCTTCCCGCCGAGCAGGGAGCCCGACACAGGGCTCAATCCCAGGACCGCAGGATCATGACCTGAGCCAAAGGCAGACACTTAACGCTGAGCCCCTCAGGTGGCCTGAGGATCTCTCTCTTGTTGGCAGCTCCAGTCGTCAGAAGTTCTAAGTTGGTCAAAATCTGCCTCCATGTGACTTTCATGTGTACCTGTGCCCTGCTGGGTTTGGTCACTGAGAATGTTGCTCCCTAACTCCTAGGACACCATTACACAGGCTGTGTTCCCAGGTCCCGCACGATGAAATGCTGAGTGAAAGGGACATCACTTATTACAGGGAACTTAATTCTAATAAGCAAAAACAAAAAGTAAATTACTATAAAAATCAGTGCTTAAGTGTACAAATCTACACTTTTTCACCCACGAAAGGACCCGCACTGTCCTAACTGAGATTGCAGTGAATTGCTTTACCATGTCTGGACCCCATGGCCCCCTTTCCTACTATCCAACAGCCTGGCCGCGTGGTCTCGTCACAGCCTATAGAACGCTGGGCATGGAGCCCTGGGGCTCACCACATGTGCTGCTGGGCCTCCTCGGAGGGTGCACACGCCAAGGCCACACAGAAAGCCTGTGACAGGCCATCTCCGTGCCCAACACTTGCAGATAAGCAGGATGCAAATTTAAAAAAAAAGAAAGGTTTAGCAGCCAAACCAGCTAAACATAAAGCTGGCTCTGGCGCTACAAAGAAATCAGTCTTAGAGTAATTAAAATAACTCTGCTTCCAAATACCTCAAAGATGATTCTGTCAAATCTCTCTAAAGATAACGTTCTGAATATGATGATAAAATGGTATCCAGCTTTCTTTAGGCTACTTAAAAATGGAACATGGTACATATACACATTTGAGAGAGAGTGTGTGTGTGTACACGCATGAGTGCGTAAAACCAAGTACGCTTACCAGCATGGAGAAGGTATTTGAAAATCACTTGTACAACTTTTCAGAGTATCAGACGTATCAGAGACCTTTGTACACATATACTTACTCATCAAAGGACAAATACAACTTCTTTTCCACATTCTCATCCAACAGACCAAGGGCAGTTAATGACCGATCTGCCCTCACGTGGCAAGTCTGAGGCAGTGACGAGACCTGAGCCACTGGAGACAAACACTGCAGAGACGCTGCCTCATTTCCAGCAGCTGAGGGCCAGAACCACCTCGCCGGCCGCTGCGGGAAGCTGGGGGAGTTGACAGCTACACTGAACGGTACCAAAGAGGGGCAGGAACAACTCCTTGAAAAACACATTCTAGGCCACCCCGGCTGGGACCAAGTCATGAGAAGTGAGCTTGCTTACACCCTCCTATTACACAGAGTGTTTCCTTTTCTGGGAGCGTGTGGGAACATTCTCCTTTCTTTGTTGAAATGCCACTTGCTTAGAGGACTTTGGAACCAGCGGGCACAGATGAATTTTAATTATAGGCCGGGTTTCCAAACCTGCGATCTAGCTCTTCTCAGCCCATGAGTTCAGAATTCAACAGCATTACTACCCAGGTCTTCAAAAGGGTATCACTGGGCTTATTTAGCACGTAAGGATAAATTTCTAAATAATACCGAAGCAGAAAAAGAAGTAATAAACAGAGGCTGTACATTTAAGCAAAGAGAGTTCTACAAGTTACTTCCTACAATGAAAAGCCCGGATATTTCTAACGCACTCAAATAGAGCAAAGACTAACTCATTGAAGAGTGAAAGCAAATGTTGTTCATTTAATCCAACCTCCCCAATCTCTTCAAGGAGAAGAAGGGCTGTAAAAGGGGGAGCAGAGCAGAGACATCCTGGCCAGCACCCCCGGAGCCGAGCACCTACTTGCCACCAATGGTCGTCATCTCCCTGGGGCTTCTTGGAAACGATACCAGTTCGGAACCAGAGGTTCCCTCGGATGTCCAGGGCCCACAGAGTCTGCTGGTCCCCGAGAGTTATACAGACAGGTTCCAAAGCCTGCCTTTCACTGGAAACAGGGAAGAGAAGGAAGAGTCAGCGCCCACACTCCAAGTGCCCAAGCTGGCTAGGAACGCCGGCTTCAAGTGTCTCCCGGGTGGGTTTAGACCCCACCCCCAAGTTCCCCGGAAGGAAGCTCGAGTTTCAAGTTACGTTGTTGTTTAAATGTGTGGCAGCTTCTGAAAGACATACTGAAAGCTGGCATGGCGGGAAACCCCTGGGAGGAAAGAGCCTACGAGAGAGCGCGTGGGCACCCAGGGCACCTCGGCCTCCCTGCTCCCCCCACACAATAGAGCCAGTGGAGGTGCCCCCCTGTGCCGGGCTGTGTCGGGCAGTAGCAGCTGGGTAGACGCTGCTTCTCCGCACACAGTGCCCTTCCCCCTTCCGCCCCTCCAGTAAAGCCCCTGCTCAGCTCTGCCCTGGCACGGTATGGTCCATGCTAACCAGCACTGTGGGAGAGCGGCGCTGGGGCCAGCCTGGTCGCACACCCAGCCCAGCCCCGCTGTGGCTCACGGTAGCCACTCGCTCATGCTGACTGGGTGCTAGGTTCAAACCAAGAAGATCCTAGTCTAATTTTTCTAATTAGCAAAATGATTTGATGGTAATTCTATAATTAAAATTTTGAGTGGTGTAAGTCACCAAATAAATTACTAGAGATCAATTACCACTGATGATTATGAAGGAAAAACATCTGGCCTGAAACCACTGAGATTCTACACAGAAACCACCCGACAGTGCCAGGCAGTGCTGAATAGAAACTGTCGTGAGACCCGTGATCATGTGATGCCTGAGGTCACACGAGAGGGTGGCAGCATTTCAAAAAGCTTTGCCCTGACCCAGCACCCAGTCTGCTGGTCAGAGGCAGGCACAGGGCGACCCATGGTCAGGCCGCGGCCATCGGCTCCGCCGACTCCAGACAACACTATCCCCATGGAGAGCTTCAGAGAAGCAGCTCTGCCGGGGGTAGCCTCCCAGGGGCGCGTTAAGGGGAGTCAAGGTGACAAAAAACCAAGGGTGGGTCAAGCAAGATGGGGAGGACGCGCCTGCTCCCGCCGATACCTGACGATGTCACATTTCCACTGCTCCCCTTCGGGGCAGAAGCTGCTCACGCCCTCCCGATACAGGAGGGCTCGCTGCTCTGTCAGCGCCCACACCACGCTGTTTCGGGCTGTGACCTGGGACAGTGGGTATGGACAGTCGACCTTTACGGCTCTAGCACAAGGGCGATCCACACTGAGACCTGCCAGGGAGACAGACAGGAAGCCCCCAAGACACATAGTCAGGACTTCGCACCTCATTTGTATTCTGCTGTTTGCTTCTTTTTCTTTTTTTGGTATTCTGCTATATTCTTGTGAAGAAAGCATTCTGTCTTTTTAAGGTCTAGTCAACAAAAAATAGGTTGTGCTTAAATAAGGCATGTATTTGAAGTGTTTTCAAATGAAAGGAACGACAGTTCAGAATCTGCGGGTATCCCAAAGTCGCTTAAGATGTTCCGGAAGAACAAGAAAGCCCAGGGCAGAGCGGCCAGGCCCTGAGCCAAGAGCAGCCAGGCCTAGAGCAACACATGCTCTGTGGCTGTGCCCTCAGAGCCTTGGGGCGAGCAGAGCTGTGGCAGCCGTGGATGGCAAGGATCTGAGCCCCCCGCCCTCTGCAGAGGAGCTCCGACGAAGCAGCCGCCCTCTCCTGCTCTGACCTGGTTGGGGGGGTGGTTCCCTACATGAAAGGCGATGTCCCTCACCCAGCAAGGCTACGGCAGGGCCAGAGCTCAGAGTCGCTGACGCCCCATCCAGGACTCCTTCCCCCCACCTCTTTGGAGCCCGTCTGCAGCCTGGAGCTGCTGGGACAGCTGCTAACTCAAATGCCATACTCTGCGGCATCAGCCTGCACTCAGTTCTCAGTGCCCCAGCGTGCTCCCCGACTACTCGCAGAAGCCCCGTGGTCCCACATTCTCAGCTGTCTCCCTCACCCTCAACCAGGGGGAGTCACCTGCTGGGCTGCTTACACTACACACCGTCAGGCCAGCCCTGGAGCCAAACACGGCCGGTCTGGTACTACTGGTTAACAGGGCACCCGTTCCTCAACTCCAGGCCAGAAGCACTCTGTCTCCTCACCAGGAACAAAACACAAGTGCCCCTGGAAACGGGATATGCATCTGCCTTTCCAGAGCTATCACCACTTGAAGGGAGAGACCAGAACTCGCACGTGGCCCAGGAGCTGGCGAGGCTGACCACCAGGGCTCAAGCAGCGGCTTCCAGGAGATGTTGGCCCTCCCACATGTGAGGAAGAGCCAGGGGTGCAGAGACTTTTGGTCTCAGGGCATCACCCCTGGCTGACAGCTCGTAACAAAGATTAAAACAGTCTCCACAAATCAGCAATATTAGATGATTAGAAGATTGATCTTTATGTAAATCCAATACGACCTCCTGACAGCCAGAAAAGAGCTCCCACCCCACACCCTTTCCATATGCCGAGAAATCACGTCGCCTTTGGAAAGTCATATCCTATTTTGCTGACATAAACACTCACGCTCATTACAGTTTATTTTTAATAAACAAGTCCCACTGAGTCTCCTCCGGCAGCTGAAGGTTCCCCACAGGGCAGTTTATTAGGACAAACTGAACTGCTACTTAGATCAAATGATTTTTCTCGTTGTTTCTTCCTGACCCACATGTAAATAAGTATATGGGGACGGGGCTATAACCTGGCTGAAAAAAGTCCAGCCATAACCTAAAGGAAAAAATGATTCTAATGTCACTTCCCCATTATTCTTTCCCCTTAAGATCTGACATTGCAGCACAAGTGATAGGCAACGGTTAGCCATAAGGAGAGTAAGAATCTGTTTCTGTATCTCACGGAATAACCCTATTAAGTCTTGCCCTAAATTTGTCCGGGTTGGATATGAGTCAGTAGCAGGAAACTGCTAATATATTCCAAAGGCAGACTGTCTTAAATTGATTTTTAGCCCCTCCGTCATTGTGATGGCTCTAAGTGTGTCCCTAACAAAGTGAGGGGCAGTAGGAAGCAATTACCCCTCCCCCCACAGGAGCTGGAGGACCGCCCCAGTTACCTGTCTGCAGGTACAGATCTCCATTTGTCCTGATGATCCAGGCCGTGTCATCGCTCAGGGCCACAAACACTGCCTGGGGCAGGGCTTCATACCAGTGCCGCTTCCCCTTGATGGTCACTTTTCCACAAGCAAAAGCTCGGTTAGATTTCTGCTCAATCTTCCAGAGAAGGGCTCCTGTAGAAATAAAAATTCTGTTCCCCATCCAATAACCGCAGAGAATTACTTACACAAAAACGTTCATCCCGGTTGCTGTGGGGGAGAGAGATTTCTAAAACCTCTCTCCCCCTTTTGCTTCCACCCCAACTGGGGAAAGAGCCCACAGTGCCAAGGTTTGGTTCCTAGGTCACCACCCACCAGCTGTGTGGCTTCAGGTATCAAGGCACCTACTGTCTCTCCATGCCTGACTTCCTCCTCTGTACCTACAGGGCTGCTAGGGAAACTGGAGGTGAGAACAGATCGGTGACACGGCACACCGAGCCGGACAGACCTCAGGCACTCCTGACGCGGACAGTGGCAGTGCTGACACAGTTACGTCAGGAGGCACAACTCGTCCCCCATGAGAGTTTGAAAAGTCCTAGAGGGATTCAGACGGGTCACTTCTGGACCAACTGAGGGTTAAGATGCACAGAAAGGAGGCACTTGAGCAGGGCTGTCCTTTTTTACTCAGAAAGGGACTCTGATAAACAGAGATGAAGAAGGGGAGGGAAGGAGGAGGACATTCTGTGTATATGGAGGGTGTGACACAGGCCAGGTGGCCACATGAAAGAAACCACCAGAGAATCACCAAGACCACAGGCTGGACTAGAGGGTCTGATGGGGTAAGAGGTAAGAGGAGAAAAGCCAGACAGCTAAGCCTGAAGCACATCCTGAACACGGTGGGGCTCTGGTGCCCCCTGAAGACGTGGGCACTGCAGGGCGACTCAGTCAAGTACACTGATCTGGTGAGGACAGAATTCCTACAAGATCAGTGAGGGCTGGAAGGTTCTGGAAACACAAAGTAATCAACAGAATCAGGATAGAACCAAGGCTTCTAAATGGCTGGGAGGGTGAACAGAAGTAAATGGCAGAGAAAGAATTAAAGCGCACAGTTACATAACGAGAGTTAGACTAGACTATGATCTCAGCCACTCCCTGAGGAAAATTATTTTTCAGATAAGCAAAGAGATGAAACAACCTTGAACAAACTGCTATTTTAAATAGTGACAAAGACCAGGAAGAGTTCAAGGAAATCCATCAGAAACACAGTAAAATTACGGGGATAAGTCTAAAGTCACAGAGTACGTTTTGTCTGACTTCTGCTCCAGGGTCTTAACAATAAGAAGATACTATGTGGGGCGCCTGGGTGGCTCAGTGGTTGAGTGTCTACCTTCGGCTCAGGTCATGGTCTCAGAGACCTGGGATCGAGCCCCCCATCGGGCTCCCTGCTCAGCAGGAAAGCTTGCTTCCCCTCTCCCACTTGCCCTGCCTCTGTTCCCTGTCTCGCTGTGTCTCTCTCTGTCAAATAAAAATAAAATCTCTAAAAAAAGGTGGGGGGGGAGTTACTATGAGGCAAATACACAGGAATACTTCAATTCTACCTACCCACCCCCCCAGCAGGTGAAGTGGCCAACATCATGACAAACAGATGCACAAATGATTCTGGACAGGGAAGGGAGATACAGGCTCAAAGCATCATTCAGGAACTGTCCGCTCCAGTTCACTAAAAATGGTTAGCCAGACCATGGCTTGCAAGAATGAACGCATTTTTCTTTTACATTCAAGGCGTAGATGATTCGGCCAAAGCATATACATCGTTCATTAAAGAAAAATTTCTAGAAAGGAACCCCAATAATCTATATCCACATAAGTCCATCTCCATTGGTTCAGTTGCTTTAAAACAACACAAGGAAACAGGAACACAGGCGCCTGTGTGGCTTGCTCAGTGAAGCGTCCACCTTTTGATTTTGGCTCAGGTCATGATGTCAGGGTTGTGACACTGAGCCCCGTGTTAGGCTTCGTGCTGGGTGTAGAGCCTGCTTAAGATCCTCTCTCTCGGGCTCAGTGGGTTAAAGCCTCTGCCTTCAGCCCAGGTCACAATCCCAGGGTCCTGGGATGGAGCCCTGCATCGGGCTCTCTGCTCAGCAGGGAGCCTGCTTCCGCCTCTCTCTCTGCCTGCCTCTCTGCCTGCTTGTGATCTCTGTCTGCCATATAAATAAATAAAATCTTTTAAAAAAAAATCCTCTCTCTCCTTCTCCCTCTGCCCCTCCCCTTCCATAAAAGAAATAGGGACACATTTTTGTAAGGTGTTCATATGTTAATCTCTCTCCAAAAAAATCCCTCAAAATTCAAGCTTTGCATAGCTTATAAAAACATGTTAATGTGTTAACATTGTAATTAATAAAAAAAACCGAACCAAGATTCAAGCTGAACATCCATTTACTGGATGTTTATTAATTAATGTTAAATGAAGTGACCCCTGTTCTTTGGAGAAAACCCTCAGACGTGCAGGCACTGGTCACATTCTGCAAGGATGGCGCTGCGGCAGGGCCCACCGTGTGCCCGCCCTCTGCCCGCCCTCTGCCCGCTGCCCTGCGCTGGGCCACTACACCAGCAGGAGCAGGGAGATGGGTGGCGGGGAGGCCAACCTGAGGGGGAGACCGCCACCTGCTGGACGGCGTCCTCAAACTTCTGCCAGCGGAGCCCAGCGCCCGGCAGTGCGCTGCAGAACAGGCCGCCTTTGTAGTCCAGGCACCAAATGTACTTCTCTGAGACCGCCAAGCTGAGTATGCCGTAGCCGGGACCGGAGTATCCCATCCAGCTTTCTGCAAACTAACAAGGACAGAGCCTGGTGAGTTCCGTAGCAGAGCGCTGAGCCGCACTGTTGGGCAGTCGTCAACAAGTCGCAGGGCGGAGGGTCTCTGAGAAGCCAAGGGGGGCCTGCTGTCTTTGGACTGTACCGAGAGAAGCGCTCTGCAATGGGGACTACTGTCCCCCGTCAGGACCCCAGAGCCCGCCTGGGTAGCTCTCCATCAGGTCAGAACACCCTTCCTAACGCGGTGCTGACGTTAAAACAACCTAGCTCTTGCACAACACACAACGCGCGTGCAAACCCACATTCTGTGCGTCGGATCCTTGCCGAGGCGTGCAGATGAGCGGCCCTGCCACCAGCTCTGTGCCCTTGCCCGTGGGTTTTAAGCACGGTCCCATCGTGCGGCTAATGGAAATCTGGCCGAGATACCGAGTCTGGCTGAATTCTACGGACTGATGTTCTGTTGCCGTGATTCTTTAAAAAAGAGCTAAATGAAGTCTTCGCAGCTTAACAGTTTTCTGAAACTGCACAAGGAATCAAAGTGCTCGCGCCATCACCCAAATACGGAAGTTCGCTGCTTCACAAAGAATGGCACCCGCCCCTTCTCAATCCAGCCCTGCTCCCCATGACGAGTGCCCCATGCCCCTGGCAAATGCCACAAAATCTCTTGGTTTTCCAGCTACTGGATGGGGGGGGACCATGAAGGGAGGAAGCAGTCCTCCAAGCACCAGGTCCCCTCTCACCTAGGGGAGGGCTTTTCTCAAGTTCTCGCTTCCGATCTCAACAGCCCACCCGCACGAGACGTCGTCAGCCTGCCCATCAGGCTTCCCACAGCCCTGCACCTGGCTGGCCAGCATCGGCCGAGAGTCGTGCTCAGCTGAGATGATCGGCAGGCACGTCTGGGTCCTCCTGGAGATTCTGGGATCCGGACTGGCTATCCGCGCCCGCAGCCAACGCCAAACACAGAGCCTGGCCGGCGAAGGCACTCAAGAAATGATGAGTGCAGGCAAGACCGCGTGGAAGGTCTCACCTTCCGGCATTTGTCTCAGGACAAGCAAGCAGGACATGTCACTGCCCATGCAGGACAGCACAGAGGCTGAGAGCGGGGTCCTGGGCCAGCCTTGCCCTTCACTTGCTGTGTGACCTGTGTAAGCCATTTCCCTACGCCTCCTTCCCTCCACTGTAAAATGGGGACCACGGCAGCACCTACTTCTTTACCTACTTTTGTTTTGTTCTTGGAGAAGAAAATGGGTCGAACTTACAAAGTGCTTAGCGTGGTGCCTGGCACGTGGCAAGAGCTTCCCGAACAATGCGTGTCGTTAGCGCTGGGAGAATCTAGAGGTCTGTTTAGGGGAAGCACACGCACGTTCACACTCATAATCCACACCCCACAATGACTTAGCAGGACAAGTTATAAGACCTGATTAGTCTCGAAACCAAATACACTGAAAAATAATGACTTGCTAAGAAAAGTAAATATTTTGAAAACAATCTCTGTTATGTAAATGATCAGGAATCATCATCCTTAACTATGTGGCTTGGGTGGACCCCAGGACGCCAGCCACCCCAAACCCACATACCTGATCTGACTTTAGGAGCCCGGTGTCCTCCGCGCCAGGCTGGCTTAGGTCCTGCAGGGAGCGACTACCTCCGAGCTCTGTCACACTTGTCTCCGAGGAAGAAGAAGGCAACCCCTGGGCATAGATGTCCTCCTCGTCACTGGATGTCAACACCTGGTCCCGTGAAGGCTGCTCGAGCCGAGGCTCACGGGTGTGAGCCACCAAGGCAGAGACTGGGGGTGTCAGCCGTCCTCTCACACTCCCCGAGTCACAACCCGAGGCAACCATTTCCTTCAGGCCTGTGTCACTGTCGGTGACAGTGTGCCAGGGATGTGAGCCAAGGTGGCTCGGGCCCCCCATGTGTGTGAGGAAGCCCTGCTCCTTGCTGGGCTCCTCGGCACAGCCTTCATCAGCTCCGGTCCCCGGCAGCCACAGCTCGGCACGGGGGGCCCAGCTGAGGCTGGAAGGCACCGGGGGTGAGTCCAAGAAAGGGACTTCAGAAAAAGTGCTTTGGGGGTCATCAAGCTCCACATCCCCTGCTTCCCGGGCCTCTGCAGAGCTGTCCTTTTCTCGACAGGGCGACTGTCTGCTATTCAGTCCATCGTCTGCGGGACAAGGTTCCTCTCTGAGTTCTGTAGCGTCACTACCTTCCACAGCTTCCCTCAGCTCCAGGAGTGAAGTCCGCACTCCACTGTGCGGCCCTGTGTCTTCTGCACAGTCACATCGTGGGAGTCCAGGTCTGTCGCCATTCCCTTCATGCAGGACGGCAGTGGCGGGCTCAGGCACCTCCAGGACACTGAACGCTTCGGGGTCAATATTTTCCTGCAGGACACCATTCACCTCACCGCTGAGGTTACTCTCCTGGTCAGGAGACTCTGTGCTCAACCGATCCACGATGCTGCCCAAACTCGAGGTCATGGAGAGCAGGTCTGTGTTCAAGGACTGGGGACTGTCACTCGGAAACTCAGAGCAGGGAGTTGATTCAAGGGAACTGTGGCAGGTGTTCCTGCGTGCACCTTCTAATTTAAAATTTAAAATAAGAATGTTTAAAATGGGGTATGACTCCATATAAATAGTAAGAGACTAAAAAACACAATTTTGGCTCAAGGAAAAAAATACATTTTAAATGAAGGATATTTAAGTGGTGAGGAATGCATCTCTCAAGTACAAATTATCCCCATGCAGAGATGTCTTAAATGGATGCAAACATCAGAGTCAGTGATGGGCTCTAGGCCTCGCTCAAGAAATGTTAATGGAAGAAAACAAAGGAAAGGATGGACAGTAGACCAGTTGTTTAAAATTATTAACATGGTTAGCAGTCTGGTACGTATGTGTAGCTCGAGAGGCCTAACAGGAATGAAGGAGTAAAAACTTAAACCATTTCTATGTTAAATCCCATGGTTGGTAACCTATCCAACACTAAACGTAAAACGACCCGTCTAGACACCATCATAAATCTTCTATTTCCGTGTCTTTCCATCCAGGCTCATAGTGTCTCTGGTCTAATACGTGCTTTACATGGATACATCTAAAATTTTACTTAACTATCGAGAAGTATAGCCCCAGACCCATCAAGCAGGGTGGTAAGTATACAGGTGTGTGTTATTATATTACTCACACCCCATGAAGGTGCTTTCGGTGTGTGTGGTACTCTTTCTTAACATATGAAATATTTCATGGTAAAACTCCTTTGAGGAAAGAGTACCCGTGTCTTCTGAAGGCCTTCTCGGCTTCTCACCAAATGGGCAAATGCTCACAGAGTGAAAGCAGCACTCCCCAAAAGTGTGCAAGAACGCCCCTGCGTAAGGAGTCAGTGTGTGTTTTGCGAAGGACGGTACCTGATCGCTTCTTCCTCCTCTTTTTCACTTTCAGAGGCTTCACGACAAGCTCCTGGTCAAAGTCTTCGGAGCTGATCACGCTGAATCTCTGCGAGGCAGGCTGGCCTCCCCTCCCCAGCTCTGGAGCTGCCTGGAGACCAGAGCCACTGTCGGTGGAGTTGAGTGAGCTGCTCCTGCTCCTGGGCTCGCTGGCCACAGAACTGGCCACGGAAGAGCCCCTGAGCCTTGTCTCCGAAACCGGGGCCCCCGACGGCTTCTCCCCACGTTGCCCAGGGGCCTGCTCTGAGCATCCCGGTGTCTCCAGACCATCTCGCGCTGAGAAAGAGGGTTGGGGGTCACTGCTGGTTGTCCAAGGAAGTCGACAAGCTCTCATTCAGGTCTGCTAACGGTAAATCCCCGCCCGCTAGGCTCAGAGAGACTGCTGAAGCGGGAAGGTTGCACTTAACAGTCCACAACGGCTCTGTGCTCTGGGGAGCTCACACACCACAATCAGGAAAATGGCTCGTCACGGCAATTTTCTATAAATAGCTCAATAGGAACGGGAGGCTACTAAGTATACAGCATTTTTTACATCAATTCACAAATAATTCCTAAAGAAGACAAATGAGCTGTTTCTAAGAAGAGGGCTTAGTGATGGCCCCTACTTAGACCACGCCTTAAACATAAAAGAACTCAAAAGGCACTTAAAAAATGTATGCGTACCTATATTTCTTGAAATTTAAGAAGAGAAAGGGCATTTTCCCTGAGAACAAACCCAGGACACAGAAGCGTGGTGTGAGGATGTGGCAGCAGAGGCTCAAGGCACCCTGCTCTGTACCCACGACCAAGAGCCAGCCAGTTGCTCACCTTCACGGACTCGTCCTTCTCAACACAACAGCACAAGTCGCCATGCTACCAGGGCTCCAGCCACAGGACCCCGTACACAGGACTATGGACAACTTTACCCACTCAGCCATCCTGATACCATGTATCCACTATGGGCCCGGCACTGTTCGGGACCACCAGCCAGATGGGAACTCCCGTCCTCTCGTGAGGGTGGCCCCAGGGCAGACTAGGGCTGCGCTGTGCAAGCTGGGGACGGACACGCGGGGCTCTGCTCGGAGCGAAGCCTGGCCAGGGAAGCGACTTGTTGAAGACCACACGAGCCGTGGCAGGTCTCGGTCTAGAGCCAACCTGTGCGATACAGCAGCCACTGCCATGCGCAGCTATTTAAACTCAAAGTTGAGCACGACTAAATGCAGCTGCGCTGCCCACACTGCAAGCGCGCGGCAGCCTGTGCGGACGGCGCGGACACAGAGCGCTTCCGCCACCGCAGAGCGGCGCCCCCAGACTGCCCTCCCGCGAGCTGCCCGCCCTGGACCACACCGTGCAGATGCCAGCTCCGAAAACTCAAAAGACTCAGAGCTTAGTCCTGTTCCACAGAAATTGCGGCCTGGGGTGACAGCTACCCTGTCTGACCCTCTGACCTAAGAAATAACTCACTCCCACCCCACGCCCACCCTGCCATCTTGTAAGAGGCAGTAAAGTGGGGGCCAACGTAGCCCTTAGGACATTTTCATCTTTTCAAGTCCTAAACATCTGGCTCTGAGAGGCTGTTTGGGATATTCTCCTACTAACCATACTTCGTATTCTAACATTACAAAAGAACAAAGGCCTTAGTAATGCCTGGGGGCTCAGGGGCTTGCCACTTGGAGCGCCCTTCCCTCGCCTTGCTCCTGCCTTGCTTCCCGCTCTAGAAGACCCTGGGTTTGCAACTGGCCCACCCACTTGGGTCCAGGCCTTCTACTCCCTCTCCTCCTTCTCCTGCAGTGACTCAGACACCAGCTAGTGCTGGTGAGAGCAGAAGTCAGAGCAAGGATGCCTCCAGGGCCAAGATACCCCAAGCCCGTAGCTATGACAAAAGGTCCACGCTTCTGACCAGTGTAGCCAGGCAGGAGAAGCAGGAGAAGCGTTGGCTGAAGCAGTAATTGGAAGACGGGGCTGGTGGATTTGGGGCTTGTCATTTACCCACCCCAGTCCTTGGTTTTCTAATCTGAAACAGGACACCGCGGATTAAGAAACACTCACTCAGGGCTTCTGTGTGCCATATGCTATCTGGGGCCACAAAGCTGAGCTACAAGATCCTTGCAAGCAAAAGGTTTACTATTTTGTGAGGGAAGGACATGGTAAGGAAATGGCTCCCCGGCCACAGCAGCGGTGGAAGGAAAGGCCCCTGGGAACTCAAGCGAAGACAGGGAGGGCCGACTTAACTAAAGCACTCAGGGAAAGTGTCAAAGATACAGGAAGACCTGAACTGAGAGCAGAGGGCAGCACCGGCTAAAGCAGGCCACGTCAGGGAGGGCACACACCCAGCACTCAGACCAGCCTGGGGCTCTGGGGACAGGGGGTGGTGGCAGGAACCCGGAGAGCTCAGCTGGGGTGGGGGCGCCCTGCACACCACCTGGGACATGGTGGCAACCGGAGCAGTGAGCGAGGAAGGCACAAGGCCGTTCCCAGCCCCGGGGGAAAGGGGAACTGGCTGGGGAAAGGCCGTGGCAGGGCCACCTGCCTCATGTTTCCCACAGGCTTGTCCTGAGCATCAAACAAGGTGCCTGTGAAACTGCTCAGTGAACTCGAGGCTACACATGTGCGGGGCCTCGGGGGCCACACAGATGTCCCCCGCGTGCGGCTCTCATCCCCCCAGCGGTGGTGTCTTTGGGACCTCGCTGCAATTTCCACAGCCCCAGTCTCATCTGTAGAACCAGTACCTTCCATGCAGGGCTGTGTTCATGATTTTATGAGGTCATGACTGTTAAGTGCTTAGGAGTGTCTGGAACACAGTGAGAACAAAGTGAGGGACAGAGAGAAGGAGGGGCTCCCCACGTGGCTGCTGTCACCATGGGGACAAGTTCACTGACGAGGCACCAAATATACCAAGTACCGTGGATGTGTGCACGGGAACATGCTCGCCAGAACCCGGGCTGTGGGACTTAGAACAAGAAGTCAGAAGCACGGAGAATGATCAGCGTCATACGGAAGAACTGCGTGGAGGGTAAAGGACGTGTTCTAGAGAACAGATTTCAATGTCCTAAAATCTTGGCAAATCTGTCCTTTGAAGTGTCAATCCCACACGCACTCTTAGGGTGCCAGCGGCCAGTCACGTGAGTGCTGAGTTCTCCTCACTACTCGTCCAGCCCCCCACCTTCCAGACCCATGGAACCACTTCACCAAATGCGAGGCTGTCTGATGTGAGCCGTAAGGTAGATAAGCTTCAAGAAAAGCACTGTAAACCATATTTTAAGAATCACAGAGGGAGGCCTGGGCAGCTCAGTGGGTTAAGCATCTGACTCTTGGTTTCAGCTCAGGTCATGATCTCAGGGTCATGAGATCAAGCCCCGAGTGACGCTCCACACTCAGTGCACGGTCTGCTTGAGATTCTCGCCGTCTCCCTCTGCCCCTCCCCCTGCTCGTACACACTCTCCCTCTAAAACAAAACAAAACATCTTAAAAAAAAAAAATCATAGGAAACCCTCCAAATACTTCCTTGTTCAGATAAAGCTACAGTTGTTTAACAAAGTAATGCTAATAAGCTTTATCAATTATAAACTACAATTACATACACACAGCACATTTTATAACAAATACAAACCTATTGATGCTAATCCTTCAGGTCTGCTTGAAATTCTTATAATGTTCCTATCTCCCTTTAAGAAAAATATTTCATTTTCTGTGCAGGAAACAGACACGATGTCACCTGACCCTTCCAAACCAGCAATTGTGGCCTGTCCAAAAAAAGAAAAAAGAAAAGAAAAGAAAAAGAAAATCACACAACCAGGCAATATTAACAGCTGAAAGCGGACACCAAGGTGCAGGAGTCCAGATGAGTCCGATGACTCCTGTGCTCTGCCAGGCTCTTTCTGAACCAGCTTAGCAGTGACAAATGCGAGGGGCGCCTGGGTGGCTCAGTGGGCTAAAGCCTCTGCCTTCGGCTCAGGTCATGATCCCAGAGTCCTGGGATCGAGCCCTGCATCGGGCTCTCTGCTCAGCGGGGAGCCTGCTTCCCTCTCTCTCTGCCTGCTTGTGATCTCTGTCAAATAAATGAAATCTTTTTTAAAAATTTATTATTTTTTTTAAAGATTTTATTTATTTATTTGACAGACAGAGATCACAAGCAGGCAGAGAAGCAGACAGAGAGAGAGAGGGAAGCAGGCTCCCCGCTGAGCAGAAAGCCCTATGTGGGGCTCGATCCCAGGACTCTGGGATCATGACCTGAGCCGAAGGCAGAGGCTTTAGCCCACTGAGCCACCCAGGCGCCCTATGAATAAAATCTTAAAAAAAAAAAAAAGAAGTGACAAACTCAAAGGTAAGGAGTGGCTGACGGGTACCTGACCCGAAGTCGTAAGCCTTGCCAGTGACTCCATGAGACTGAGCGAGCAGCTCAGCCCGCGTGTGAGCGCTGGGAGCTGCGGCCTGCCCAGCGCCCCTCCCTCCAGCACAGGGCGCCCATGCTCTTTGGCAGGACCTGCCCACTGGCCGCACATGGCCGCCGTGGTGTGTGCTTCGGGTGCCCTGAGCGGAGTGGGCCAGGCCAGACCCCAGGCTTGTTCCTCCAGGATGCCACGGCTCCACTCGAGCTCCTTTCCTGGCCCTTGTCTGTTGGGAGAGGTCCGACTGGAGTCAGACATCACCTCCTCAGGAAATGGTTCCTGGGGAGCCCAGACTCAATGGCATGCCCAGGACTCACGGCACTTTGCACACACACCCACAGGAATGCTGCTCCTGGGCTGGAGTGATGTGCTGACTGTTCCAGACTCCTACGGTGTGCACTCCCACGGGAGAGACGAGTGGACACTGCAATTCATGGCTCGGAATGAAAGAATGGAGAGAGGGACGGGGTCCCTACCAACACTTGAAAACAGGACATCCAGAGTGTGAATGATTTTAAAACATTTTCTTTTCTGCTAACAGTACACACAAAAGGCAGTTCACTATAGAGGGAAGAAGGGCCTAAATTCTTTGTTAATTTCTAAATAATCCTGATGAACATCTAGAAGCATGCCATTAGTTTGAAAGCTGCCCATCATGGTGCCATGTACACTCTGATGGCAGCCACAACGTCTGCATGTGGACAGCCCCTTTGTGTCGTGAAGTTAATGCCACCCGTCGCAGAAAGCACTGGGGCAAGGGCTCAGAAGAAAGGAACTGATACATAGTCACCAAACCTCTCAACCCCACTCACTACTAAGTGTGCATCAAGTTCAAAGAGTACCCAGAGAAAGAAGAAAACTTAAGTTGTCTATAAGTGGAGAATACAGAGATGCCTTTCGAAGTGTTCCTTAAGAAGAGAAACCAACTCAGGGTTAAAAGGCAGCTTGGTGGCCCCAGCCCCGCTTGTCCTACCCTCAGGTTCCAGGTGAGGAAGCCATGCCAGGCAGACGACACTTCCGCTTAGAGGCAGAACAGCTAGAAGGTTCTACCAAAACCAAATCTATAAAATAATTAGACCCTACTTGATTTCCTTGCAAAGGAAAAAGTAAAGCATTAGAATTAATGCTGTTTCTTCTACCATTATGAGAGACAGTCCGTAGATAAACATATAAAGACACCAAAGGTGTGGTGCGGTCACGCCACTTACCTGGTTGATAGTGTCTAGAAGGTAAATACTATATTCGTTCCAACTCAACACCCAGCCTTCTTGAAAGAAACATGAAACAAGGCCCAGGTGTCTCTCAGGTAAGCCGCAACCTCCCCTGCCGGAGGATTCCAGACGTGGGTACAGTTCAAAAGGCTTGACTCCTCCAGCAAAGACATCTTTTAAGATAAACGTGGCTTGAACAGTCCCATGGATATCCGCCTTCCACAGACGGAGCCCAGGCCGTGACGCGTACAAGGTCAGATCACTCTGCTTACAAAGTCCTGGTATAAAACAAGCTCCAAACTTCCCAGTGCTGAAATTACCAAAAAAAAAAAGAAGAAGAAGAAGAAGAAGAAACAGATACAAACTGATTTAAAGTGATAGTTGTCAACCCTTGACATCAACTCGAACAAGAATTTTTTAGATAAGCCTAAATAAGATTGATGTTTTTTCAAACCCTCTTCTACAGTTTGTTCTGTTGTTACTAGAACGACACTGTCATCTCTGTGTCTCCTCCTCCCTGTAGCCCCTCGGAAGCATGTGCCGCTGAGCAGGCAAGGCAGCCTGGCTCGTGGCGACCGTCATGGTGCTGTGCCCTGGGCTTCGTCTCCACCCTCTGGCTCAATCCTCGCAGCAGTGCCACGAGGCAAATGGTACAGCTCCTGTGTCAGAGAAGAGGAAAGGGAGGCGGAAGCTGACAATCCAGGTCCGACCATCCTCTCCCTGTTCGGAAGTTCTGTTCATCCTTTTTTTTTTTTTTAAGATTTATTTATTTATTTATTTGACAGAGAGAAAGAGATCACAAGTAGACAGAGAGGCAGGCAGAGAGAGAGAGAGAGAGAGGAAGCAGGCTCCCCGCTAAGCAGAGAGTCCGATGCGGGACTCGATCCCAGGACCCTGAGATCATGACCTGAGCCGAAGGCAGCGGCTTAACCCACTGAGCCACCCACGCGCCCGGAAGTTCTGTTCCTCCTAACCCTGACTGCTGTGCTCACACCAGCATCCCAGTGAATGAGCATCACACCTACAACCGAGTCTAAACCCGTCACAGAGACCAGCTTCCTGTCCGGTCCACGGGTATGTCATTTTTTTCTATTTTTTAAAAGTATGAAATACCTAACACAAAATGTATGTTTTATATAATATAATACGTATCATTTTATACCATATATCCACCCAGGTGCACACACACACACTTAGAGGCATATAAAATTATGAAGCCTAACAAATGAAATGCCCACCCAGGAGCCCATCCCTCAATTTTGGAGATAAATCATCAGTGACACGGGTGGTGTTCTCCCACACTCCTAATGTCCCTGCCCCTCCGTTCCCCAGGTGTGATCACCAGACTGAATTTTGCTATTCCCTTGCTTCTACTACTGATAGCTTAGCCACATACCTATGTATCCCTAAACCCTACATATCTTAGTATCATCTTCCATTTGCATAAAAAAAGTGATGCTATTTGTACACTTTTGCCACTTACTTTTAACATTGATTAAAGATTTACCTTTACTGACAAAACAGCTATAGCTCATTCATTTTCACTGCTATATAGCATGCCACATTTTTTTTCACTCACTCCCTTGTTGATGGGTATTTGAATTATTTCTACTTTGCTATTTTAAACAACAATACCACGAGCATTTCCACACAGGCCTCCTAGCAAACGGGTGTGTCAGAGTCTGCCCGGGTCTCCGGGAGATGGAACTGCTGCACTGTCAGGGAGCTGCTGGGTTGCTGAGTTGACCACATTCAGGTTTGAAAGATAATTTCAAACTTTTTTCAATATGCTTAATCCAACCTTTGCTCCCACCAGCAATCTGAATTCTTTTTTTCCCCCAAAGGGATTTTTAAGCAATCTCTACACCCAATGTGGGGCTTGAACCCACACCCCGAAATCAAGAGTTGCACGCTCCCCCAGCTGAGCCGGCGGGGGGTTCTCCTGAGTTCTCATGGTTCTACACCTTTGTCCAATCTCAGGCTCCTACCAGAGCTCAGAGTTCAAGAGTTTCAGGCCACCCTCTCCCCAAAATACTTCTCTGACTTGAAGCAGTAGAAACAGTACTGACTCTTGATTGACAGAGAGGCTCCATGTCCAGCCCTGATATTTACTATGTGAACTTTCTGGAGCTCAGTTTCCTTATCTGTAAACCAGGGGCAATCCTTCCCATCTCAAAGGTTAAAGTGAAGATTAAGTGAGCCAGTCTAGGAGGGCACAGAAGTGCTGCTGCTGACGTGGTAACCCCCCGGACCGGGCTCCGGGTGCTCCCAGCTGGGATGGGCCCCTCGTTCCGCTCATAGCCCTGTGCCTCTCTCCTCACTCTCCCTGCACACAGCAGCACACCGGTCCTCCTGAAGGGCTGTCTCCAGAGCCCATCCCACATGGTCACACAGAGTTATCTGGACGTTCTCTGCCAGTCAGTCTCTCTCTAGGTCCCTCTGGGTGCAGAGTAACTAAATCCCTCTGGATGGGGCCCAAGGAGGGTACTGAATATCAAATTCAGCTTTGAAACGAAGATTGTTAGATGAACCAAGACTGTTCTAACACTGTAGATCATTCCCGGACAACTCTATAATCGGCCTCGGGTTTGATTACTGCCTTTGGTGGATTTGTTCTGGAAAGATTCTCTAAATAGACCCAAAGGAATTCTCACAGGGCAGTCCATAACCTCTTCCTCTTGCGCTTCCTGTCAAATCGATTTCTGTTTGGTGACCCACTTGTTAAATGTTTTCCTTCTATTTATAGGTCCTCTTAAAAACCTCTTGTCACTTCCACTTTGATCTGCTCACCTTGGATAACTGCAGCATTCACTTGAACAAACACCGAGGGAGTCCTGCCCTGTGTGAGACCCGGTGCCATGGGCAACGTGAAAGAGAAACGACACGAGATCCTGGCCCTGGCTAAGAACAGGCGCGGGCAGACGTGTGCGTGGGTAAGAACCACGGCAAGACCATCTGAGGCTCAAAGGGCCCCACGAGTGGTCCAGACGGGAGGCATCTGACTAGGGCAGGAGAGGGCTAGACCTGGGACTATTCCCGGCTGAGGATGGGACGGGCACTGTGGGGGAAGGAACATGCCGAGAGGGTCCTGGTGGGCAGCTGGCTCTACGGAACTGCTGGAACATGTGGTGTGTGGTTGGTGGTGGAGGAGGGAGACTGGCGGGGGGAGGCGGCGAAGCTGAGGATAACTAGCTAGGGCAAGTGCAAACTGTCCTTTGCCCCGGGCTTAGCGCCACCCGCCGGCAGCACGATGGTGCACCTGCTGCGGTCGTTCTGAAGCGGACCCTCAAACCCCAACTTTCAAGGCCCAGGCACTGCAGGGCTCTAAAATCATAACTTCATCAACCCACTTTCTTAATTTTGGTGGAGATGACTTGCAGAGAAATCACTGATGACTTTAAAAAATACGTTAATTCCCTTTATAAGCCACATTAACATGAAAGGTGTGGTTTTTTGTTTGTTTTGGGATTTTATTTTATTTTATTTTTTTAAAGATTATTTATTTATTTATTTGTCAGAGAGAGAGAGGGAGAGAGAGCAAGCACAGGCAGACAGAATGGCAGGCAGAGGCAGAGGGAGAAGCAGGCTCCCTGATGAGCAAGGAGCCGGATGTGGGACTCGATCCCAGGACGCTGGGATCATGACCTGAGCCGAAGGCAGATGCTTAACCAACTGAGCCACCCAGGCATCCCTTGTTTTGGGATTTTAAAACGATTTTCTTTCTTTTTAAAGATTTTACTTATTTATTTGACACAGAGAGAGAGAGAGATCACAAGCAGGCAAAGAGGCAGGCAGAGGGAAGAGAGGGGGAAGAAGGCTCCCTGCTGAGCAGAGCCCGATGCGGGGCTCGATCCCAGGACCCTGAGATCATGACCTGAGCCAAAGGCAGACACTTAAGCCACTGAGCCACCCAGGCGCCCCTAAACGATTTTATTTTTAAGCACTCTCTACCCCCAGCGTGGGGCTCAAACTCACAACCCTAAGATCAAGAGTCTCATGCTGTACCGACTGAGCCAGCTGGGAGCTCTGGAAGGAGTGTTTTCTAACGAGCTGTACAATCCACTGGTACCACAGACTGGAAATGCTGAGCATGGACAGAGAGCCTGAGGCAAGAGAATGAAAGTCTATGATGGGTGACAAAAGGCTCAGCAGCCAACTGCCCACAGACTACCACACAGGCATGACAGCAGTGACCCTGTTCCAGAACCTGGTGCTGGCTCTGCTGGGGGTTTAGACTCCCCAGGTCCACACGCACGGATGGCCTCGTGCGGGGGCCCTGAGGACAGGGCCGCGGGGACACCTAATAGGTAGGGAGAGGGTTCCCACATGAGATAGTGAAACATAGAGCCCAGAAGAACAAAGATACAATACATCTGGGGACAGCTGGGGGCTCTGAGGTCTTCTGGGAGTAACATGTATTATCTGGTCCGGTCTGAGGAGGCTCACAAACTCCATCCGAAAAGGATGACCCCATCCCCCACCACCGCGGTCCCCTGCCTCCAGATGCACCCACACTTGTGCTCTGCTGCCCACTGAGAACACTCCCGCCCTATTCAAGGCCACGCTGTCACCCACCAGCGGGCTCCAGGGAGGTCACGACAGGCACCGCCATCTTGTGCTCTGTGCCAGCCAGCGCCAGCCACCCAGCCCATCTTACAAACCTCTCAGCAGACACGCTCCCTGCAAAGCGCCCCCTCCTGTGTTCCCTTCTACAAAACCAGCCTCCTGCAAAGCTGTCCCCAAGCACCGTGATCCTGTGTCCTCCAGCCCTTTCACCCTCGGCCCCTCTCCTTGAGCAACCCGTGTGTAGCCACAGGTCGCCATACCGAAACGTCTGTCTCAGGCCATCTCTCCGGGCAGTCAGCAGCTCTGACACAGCGGCTGGCCCTGTGACACTTCCTCCATGTGGCTTCCGACTTCTCACTCCCCTGACCCCTCCTCACGTCCCGGTCTCTGCAGATGCCCAGAACAGAGACAACCCTGCCCCCAAACCATGCTCACACCCGCGGCGAGCTCATCGGTCCCAGAGCTTGTCCAGACCGTCCACGTGCTACAGGCTCTGGCCGCACCTGCTTCCTGAGATGCACACCTGCTGCCCCTGCCCCTTCGGCTGCCCCCGGGAGGAAGACTGTGCCACCTGTCCACAACAGCCCCTCTGGCCTCTCCACCAGACTTCTCCAGGCCAGAGCGCCGCCACCCCCCACCCGAGTGCTCAGCCACGGCCTCTGACTCATCTCCCTCCCTCAACTGCCAGAGCAAACCTGTCAGCTCTGTCCTCTGAGCAATCCTACCACCCTTCCCTGGCCTAAGGCCCTGGCTGCCCCCTGAGCTGCCACTCTTGTCCCCTCCAAAGAGCAGCAAGGGTGACCTGCCCTGGCCAAAGCCTCCCACGACTGCTGGCGTGCTAGAATAAAGCAGCCCCGCGTACGGCTCACAAAGCCTACACGACGGGGTCCTACCCCGGCCCTACCCTACCAAGGCCCACACGGCCTTGCTGCTCCCCAAACACTCAAATGCTTGGCACACACACTGCTTCTGCCTCAAGAGCTTCTCTTCAAAGTCCTCTGGTGGCTCCTTCTGCCCTTCCTTCAGGAATCTACTCCAGTCCCTCCTGCGGAAGAGTTGTCCCTCCCTGCCTATCTAGAGCACGCACCCATGTCCCCTGCTCCCTCCTCTGTAGTCCATATCCCGATTACTACCGAACATTCTAGAACATATTTATTTAATGTTGGTTTCCCCCGCCAGGAATATGAGCCTCCCGAGATTAGAGGTTTTCCCAGGTCACAGCTGTCACCTCAGATGGAGAAGGGTGCCCAGAACACAGCAGAGACTCGATGAGGCTTTTTCAGTGTCACGTGAAAAACACTGTTCCCCGATGTCAGGGTCTCAATGTCGCCTGCATCTAACGACCTGCGGGCCTGGAGATGTCACTCCTCACGATGACTCCTGCTTGACTACTACCTAACAGGTACCTCCAGCTCAATAATGCCCCCAACAGAATAGCTGTCTAGACCTCAAACCCGGGCTTGCCCTGTGTTTCCACCACAGCTACCTAGCTGCTGCAGCCGCCGGTACGAAACCTTCTCTTCTTCTCTTCCCCTCACCCCACATCCAATCCTGCCCCGTGCTTTCCATCTCCAAACTGCAGCTCCCTGCACCTCCCCGTCTCCTGACGGCCACCACCAAGGGCCAGCCCCCATGCCTGCTCCCAGGACTCCCACAGCACCCTCCTCACTCTCCCCCTCCTGCCCATCTCCAGTTGAGGCTCCACGCAGAACTGGGTGAGCTCGGAAACGTTGCTCATGTGGCCATTCTCCTGCCTACAGCACTTAAGAGTCTTTGGTTATACCTAGGATAACCCGGGCAACAGCACGTGGTGCTCCAGCCCTGCCCCTAAGCTGGCTCAGGCCCTCCTTTCCAATCTCATTTTCTTTCTCTCTTTCTTTTTTTTTCTTTTAAAGATTTTATTTATTTATTTGACAGAGAGAGACACAGCGAGAAAGAGAACACGAGCAGGGGCAGGGACAAAGAGAGAAGCAGACTTCCCACAAAGCAGAGAGCCTGATGTGGGGCTCTATCCCAGGACCCTGGGATCATGACCTGAGCCAAAGGCAGACACTTAACTGACTGAGGCACCCAGACGCCCCTCCAATCTCATTTTCTACCAGTGCACCCAACCCACTGCTCCCTGGTCACCCGGGCCCCTCTGGCTCCCCGAACGCTGAAGCCCTGGCTGAATCTGCGGCCTTGGCATTCGCTGTTTCCTGAGACCAGAATTCTCCTCCAGCAGCTCTTCCTGTGCCTGAGGCTTCTGCTCAAATATCACTTCCCCACAGAAGTCTTTCCAGACTATTCTAAGAGAGCGTGACCCCCCACCCAGGCTTCACCCCAACTGCCTTCTCTGCAGCACACACTGCTGCCTACACAGCTATTCTGCTTGGGGGCAGAGACCTGTCCCTTGCCCACCTGCCCACCGCATGCTACTGCCCCACACGTGCTGGATGACACACGGCTTCCAGGGGGCAGACCTGCAAGATGCCCCTTCTGAACCACAAGCTCACATACATGCAACAGAAAAACAATCTTTAAGACACAGGGATGACCAACTTTTCCATTTATTCTGTGTTATCCCCACTCCTCTAGGGCTCAGTGAAACAGACCTCCCAGGAAGAAAGGAGAGACATTTGTTTGCATCCGCAGCCTGGAACAGTGCCCAGCATAGGCCACAGGCTCGGCCACACATGTGCACCAGGAGGGGCTCATGGAAACTTGCTTAGGTTTCCACACTGGCGCTTGGAAGACCAGGTTTTAAGAGAAGGACTATTGGCTGCTCCCCGTGAAAAGGAACTGGTTTTCCTATCTATCCTGCACTACCCTTCCAAAGAGTGTAGTGAGACACTGACGCCAAGTCAGAACAAAGCATCAGGCAGAAGAGGGGGACAGTGGCAGAGGGAAAGGCGAGATGAAGACGTGCAGAGCCCCTAAGCCGGAACTACAAATTCCACTGCGTTTTCCAGGGGCCAACCGGGAGACTACTGCTATAAAAAGGCTAAATTGTTGATGGATTGAGGGGGTATTCAGCATGGAAAACAGAAGCCAAAGGGAGGCTTGATCAGGTCTTTTAATAGCTAAGGGCTGCCACACTCCGCCCATGTGACCTCCCCTTCTCCAGGCCATCCATCACCCGCCGGGCTGTCACCACCAGCTTCTGTGGGCCCTCCCTCTCTCACGCAGCCAACCCACATCCCACTGTCAGCCTGTTCACCCCACTCCCCAGCCTACCTGCCACCAGCCCCTCTGATCCTCTCTAAGCAACACTGCCCTTTTACCAGGAACTTCTCCAAATCCCGCTGCCAATCCACAAGCTGCTGGCACCCATCCTCTCTTTCTGCCCCCACTTGGCTCTTGCCCCTCTCTCTCAGGATGAGAGGGTGGCCCCACCACTCTACCCAGCCCCTCCTCACTGGCCCCACCCCCAGGTAAACTGGGCCCCAGGGCTCTACACATGTGTTTCTGGCAGGGAGACCCGCCATGCACTCCTGCTGCCTCTTCCCACATGGCGGATAGGCGACTGGACTTGGTCTACCCCTTCTCTTGCTGTCCTTCTGGGTAGCAGGTCAACTGGGGGACAATCTCTCAGCCTGGAAGCCTCCCACTCTTCTTGGCCAGTTCTACTGCTCCCTCGCCCACTCCTTCAGGGAGTCTGCCTTCAGCTCCAGGCTGGGGAGAAGTTTCACAGCACCCCACACACTGCTCCACAGCAGGTAACACAACAATTAACTTTCCTGCTGAGTTTATTAAGTTTTCATGATGGTGGGCTCCTATCTACCTTGTCTGCCTCTTATCCCCAAGCCTGGCCCAGCCCACACGGTGCAGCGGGGCCCTGACCCTTGACCACGGGGCTGTGGGAGAGGGGCACCTGCGCAGGAGTGGACCCAAAGCAGACCACATCGGAGACTCCCCCAGATCCTGGCACTCAAGGCAGGGAGGCCATGCCTGCGGGTTCTCCCAGAAGAACAAGAGGGATGCGCTGTTCCTGTTTAATGCTGGAACAAGGTGCCCTAGGCAGGTTAGGGACCCACTGGGCACCCCAGGCTTAGAGCAGCTGTGGGCTTGCACATGACAAACAGGAAACCTAGGAAAACTTAAAGCCCCTCTGTAACCACCAGGCTGGGGCACTTGTGACGCCCACCTTTTCCTTGGTTGTGTTCCAATCTGCTTGACAGACTTTTCTTCCATGTAAAAAAGCAGGCTTCTTTGTAGTGTAGACACGAGCAGCACTTTCTGGCTATAATCCAGCTGCACGATGGAAGACGGCTCCTCCAACACCAGATGCGAGTTACACACGCCCTGTGAGAGAGTCTGGTTAAACCCAGCTCAGTGCAGAGTTCAAGCAACCCGACTTCCTCTGTGACGGGAAATATCCTTCTGTTGTTTGTATTCGGATCAGTTTATACCTTAAAACGTATGTTGCTAATTCTCAACAGATTCGGTGTCAACCCACTGTGATAAAATTGTTTGGGAAAGTTCTTACTAATGAGAAAACAACATTAACAACCTATCTCAGCCTATATCAAGTTTGGCAAGAAAAACTGAAAAATACTGTATAATTTCTTTTTTTTTTTTTAAGATTATTTATTTATTTATTTATTTATTTATTTGACAGACAGAGATCACAAGTAGGCAGAGAGGCAGGTAGAGAGAGGAGGAAGCAGGCTCGCTGCTGAGCAGAGAGCCCGATGCGGGGCTCGATTCCAGGACCGTGGGATCACGACCTGAGCCAAAGGCAGAGGCTTTAACCCACTGAGCCACCCAGGCGCCCCTGTATAATTTCTTTTAAAACATTCTCGGTAGGCAGTTCAAAGAAGAGTCCGTAGGGATCTAAGTGGAAATATGTTACACTATCACTATTATTTATTCTAATCAAACACAATGGGACTTTCTATAAAATTATTGTGGCAACTATCACCTAAGGTCACATTACACTCTTTCCCCACAAAGAGTTCAAGGCAATTTTGGGGACATTATATCCATGCCAACTGAAAGGGTCAGAAAAAAACAGAGAAAGAAATTCAAACAGGTTTAAATATATTGAAGAACAAAGGTAAACTCCAGAAGGCATTTTACTGCTGGCACAAACTCTATTTCTTGGTGTCAAAAATCTGCTTCTAGAAGTTACTCTTCTCCTAAACCTGTTTCTTCAGTTGTTTAAGAAATCCTGATGCTCTGTCACAAACCTCGTGGGGGTAGGAGGAAGAGCAGCAATCAGATTTACTGGTAAAACTTACATACAATAAAACTGACCCTTTTTAGATACACGGTTGTATGGATTTTGAAAAATGCATACAGTTATACAACCACCAATACAGTGAAGATAGAGAAATTCTCTTACCCCTAAACATCAAGTACTTTTAAAGCAGATTTTCCTCCCACGTTTGTAGTTATATAAACTGTAGCTTTTCAGTTTTAGACTTAGGTTATAATGAACTAAATTTATTCTATGAATTTTGCAAAAACACTCAGCCTCTCATATCTTTTTTTTTTTTTTTGCAAATCTCTTTATACTTGTATTTAAAACAACAACAACTGGGGCGCCTGGGTGGCTCAGTGGGTTAAGCCTCTGCCTTTGGCTCGGGTCGTGGTCCCAGGGTCCTGGGATCGAGCCCCGCATCGGGCTCTCTGCTCAGTGGGGAGCCTGCTTTCTCCTCTCTCTCTGCCTGCCTCTCTGCCTGCTTGTAATCTCTATCTGCCAAATAAATAAAAAAAATAAATAAAATCTTAAAACAACAACAACGATCAGAACCTCAATAAAGGTGGGAAGTAAGTTCCCAGCACGCTAAGGACATTGTTTTCTACATGTGGCTTTCTCTCCGCTTTGCGAAACGCAGGCCCGGGAGCGGTGCAGGCCTGGTGCTGCCCGCAGGCCTGAGCAGAAGGAAGGAACAACACAGGGGTTCCTAATAACCTCAATGCTTTCCTGCATAACAGCGGTTCTCCAAGTGGGCTCCGCAGTCCTTTCCACAGGGTCTGCAAGGCCCAGACTATTTTCGTTATAATACTAGATCGCATCCGCCTTTTTCACTGAGCTGACATCGGCAATGACACAAAAGCCATGGTGGGGAGAGTGGGGCCCTGAATGCCCCTAATCGTCACTGTGTCCTCTGCCAACACTCGTGGGAAAAAAATGTGCATTTCACTGAAGATGGTCTTTCACACAGAACATTTATAATTTCATTAAATCCTGGCTCTTGGGTAGACACAGTTTTGAATTTTGTGTGATAAAATGGGGCAGGTACTGTCCTACTGCTGCACACTGAGGTACTCTGGTTCTCAAGGAAAAGCACTTGACTGTTAGAGCTGGGAGCGCAACCAGCTGCCTTCCCCCCCAACCCCGCCCCAGAATGCCATTTTTCTTGACATACTATAATTACTCAAACATGGGTATTTGGCAGACATTTTCTCAGATGGAACAAAGTGGCCTTGTCACTTCAGTAAAAACAATTGTGTTTGTTGCTGATAATAAATTTCAAGTTCTCAAATGAGGCTTAGAATTGAAATGAGGCTTAGTATTGACCCTTGTGAACTTGGGCAGTTCTCAGTAGCTACAGCCTTTTCTGATCAGAATGATGGTATTATTGACAAAAACACGTTCTTTGATATTATATAATTAAATGTGTCCACATTTGAAAAGATCTGCTTCATTCAGTAAGATCAATATTTTCCAAGCGACCAACACATGATATTACAAAATCACGCGGGGATCAAAGAGCCACTCAAAGTGCCAGGCAGGCCGCTGGATTTCGCTGTAGGAGGACAAAAAATCCATCCACACGGTTTCAGCTTCCCAGTTACAACTGACCTTTAGAGAAACCACCATCCGTCAGTTGGGGATAAAATTCACGAAGAATATCCACAATTCTCTAAAAAGGCTAGTACAATACTGTCCTGTTTCCAACTACAGGTCTGTGAGAGGCCAGATTTTCTTTATATACTCCAACCAAAACAATGTATTTGCAAATGCAGCTGTCCTCCAACAAGCCAGCAGCCATTAAAGAAATTTGCAAAAACGTAAAGTACTGTCTTTCTTTTCACTTGTTTTGAAATAGTTATTTTCATGAAAGTTATTTCTAGTGATAGGTTTATTTTTTCAAAATAAAATTAATAGGGGTGCCTGGGTGGCTCAGTGGGTTAAAGCCTCTGCCTTCGGCTCAGGTCATGATCTCAGGGTCCTGGGATCGAGCCCCGCATCGGCCTCTCTGCTCATTGGGAGGCCTGCTTCCCTTCCTCTCTCTCTGCCTACTTGTGATCTCTCTCTGTCAAATAAATAAATAAAATCTTAAAAAAAAAAAAAAAAAAAAAAAGAGTGTAGGGGCGTCCTGAGACCAAACACTTTGAGAACTTCCGCTAGACAGAACTTGTAATAGGATAGTTGTTGATCGGAGGGACTAAAAGCTACTCAGCTAGGGGCGCCTGGGTGGCTTAGTTGTTAAGCGTTTGCCCTGGGCTCAGGTTGTGATCCCAGGGTCCTGGGATCGAGGCCTGCGTCGGGCTCCCTGCTCAGCAGGAAGCCTGCTTCTCCCTCTCCCACTCCGCCTGCTTGTGTTCCCTCTCTTGTTGTCTCTCTCTGTCAAATAAATAAATAAAATCTTTACAAAAAAAAAAAAAAAAAGCTACTTGGCTAGTAATTGCTGAATTCCCGCTATGCATGAGGAATGAAGGCTACACGTCAGGAAAGGAAAGGCTCGTACCAAGGTGTTCAGTGCAGCTGGGCAGACACGTGACCCAGTGAAGCACAGGTCTGCACAGAGGCACACGAGCGATGGAAAAGATGCGGGCTTCGGAGCAGAACCTGTTTGAAGCTGAGCTCCATCAGGTGTTGGCCTGTGACCCCGGGCTAGTGATGGGGTCACCGAACCTTGGGTTCTTCATCTACTGACAGGGGAAGAGCGACACGCAGCTCAGGGCAGCGTTGTGAGGATTAAACAAAGCAACAAACATGAGGGTGGCGGCTGGGCACTGGACTGCCACCAAGCCTCCTCGTCCTGAGCCCACTCCCTCCCACATGAGAGGCAGGCTTGGCTGGGGCCAGCTCTCCGCCTCCCTGAAAGCACTGACCTCTGTCCATAGTTATGATTATGAAAGGCTTCACATGGCTCCTACAAACCCTTCAAGGAGACAGTGACAGTGGCTTCTGTTCGAAGGAGCAGCAGGAGACAACAGGAGAATGGACACCGTGAGGGAAGGGGCCAGTGCAAACAAAGGCCAACCCTTTAGTCACAGCAGAATAAGCTTAGAAAATGTTAGAGAAGTCCTTGAGGGAAACTGTTACAAACAATAATGAGATTATAAAGGGACAAATGATTGGGAATACAAACGGACCGGCTATAAGATGATTATGGATATAATTGTTCCAAATAGAAGAAGGCCAAAAATATTTCTGGAAATAATCTTACCTGGTCTAGATCCAGAGAAGAATAGACAATTTTCCCTTTGTCATCACCAGAGAACAATTTCATTCCATTGGGGCTCCAAGCCAGCGCGGTTATGCTGTTTCTGTGAATACCGGTGACATCAAATCTCCGAAGCTGGGAACGAACGACAGACACGCGCACAGGGAGAGAAAGGGGTGCGCACTGTGAGACACGCTCTGTGGGCACAGGGGTACAGAGTCCCTCCTTCTCCTGGAGGAGCTGGTCTCCCCAACCTGGTTTTCCAGGCAAAACCCTGCACAAGGTCTCCTCTGGTTAGTGACCTTGAAAGCAGACAGAGGGCAGCCAGAGAACGTTAGGCACAATCTAAATTACCCAAACGCGCTTTCCGCCAAGTGTCCTCCCGAGAACCAAATGTTATTGAGTATTAAGAGCACAGGGTGAAGCTTTTCTGAGCACGTATCTTCCGAGCGGGGGAGGCTTTCTCCTGTGAAAATCCGCAAGGAATGTGCCAAGAGGGTAAGAAATGCCGGGGAGACTAGCACTTACTTGTTTGTTTCTCCCCGGCAGCGAGGACACAAGCTGAAAGACAGCGACCCTCCCAGAGGCGGTGCCCGCAGCCACGAGGTCATCGAAGCAGCTCAGCAGCTTCACCACCGTGATGGGTTCCGTTTTCCCCTAAAAGAGCAAACATTCAAGACAAGGCCAGCTTCCAGAGTGGAAACATTACCCCTGGAGGCAGAAGCCCGGCATCAGGCTGCGGCCTCTGCAAAGCCCTGACTGAAAACGCATGCAGTCCAAGAAAATAATTACATCTGTTAGACCCTCTTTTTTCTTTCTAGGTCTCTCATCTTGAAATGACGAAAAAAAAAAAAAAAACCATTTCTAATAAAGGAAATGCTCATCAAACAAGTGAGAATATTCTGAGCTATCAAGGAGAGCATGCGAAGATGCTTGGAGAGCTTGCCCAGAACGGGAGTCTGGAGTAAGAAAAGCTCTCCCAGACCCCAGCTCTCTTTCTTCTTTCTCAACTCGGACATGCCACTCCAGCACTGTAGTCCACGGTCTGTGTGCCACGCACGCTTGCCACGAGGACGAGGAGACGATACATGTGAAAGCACTTTGTAAATGGGTTTGTTCTTAGATCAGTAATCAAAAAACACTAACCCAAGCGTCATACATTGGCCTATTAAAAAATAAAGATTATTATTTTTTAAAGATTTTATTTATTTATTTGACAGACAAAGATCACAAATAGGCAGAGAGGCAGGCAGAGAGAGAGGAGGAAGCAGGCTCCCTGCTGAGCAGAGAGCCTGATGCGGGGCTCGATCCCAGGACCCTGAGATCATGACCTCAGCCGAAGGCAGAGGCTTAACCCACTGAGCCACCCAGGCGCCCCACTGGCCTATTAAAAAATAAAAAGCACATGTACTGGGATGCCTGGGGGGCTTAGTCAGCCAAGTGTCTGCCTTTGGCTCGGGTCATGGTCTCAGGGTCTTTCGATCAGCTCCGCGTCAGGCTCCCTGCTCAACAAGGGGCTTGTTTCTCCCTCTCCCTGCCCCCTGCTCATGCTCTCTCTAATAAATAAAATCTTAAAAAAAAAAAAAAAAAAAAGAAGAGAAGAGAAAAAGCACACGCACAAGCATGGCACACAGAAACTCAGGCTTCCAGACCATTGAGTGAAACCATTCATTCAGAAAAATCACACCACCACTTGGCCTTGCTGAGACGGACGGCGAGATCTGCACTGAACTACCGTGATCGCCACATTCTGCTGCAGTAACTTAGACGGTAAGCGGTCTGTCAAGGGCAGAAGCACGCCCTCCACACTCAGGAGACTGAGTCAGCTGCTGCAGTGACAGAAAGTAAAGTAGGTCGCAGGCCCGCGCCGCTGGTGGCGGTGAGCGCGTACAGCCCACGGGGGCGGCGATGACGGCGATGACCGCTCGCACTTCCGTCAAGCCCTGCAGCTCTCAGGGCGCTCTCCTGGGCTATAAAGATGCCTAGTGAGAGCCTGACGGAGGTAAGGGACTTGGGTCTTAAGCTAGAGGAAGGCAAAGGGGAGCCCTGGAAAATTCCTGCCTCTGCCATGTGTCCATCCCACAGGTTTCTTTTCTTTTTTTTTTTTTTTTAAGATTTTATTTATTTATTTGACAGACAGAGATCACAAGTAGGCAGAGAGAGAGAGAGAGGAGAAAGCAGGCTCCCCGCCAAGCAGAGAGCCCGATGCGGGACTCGATCCCAGGACCCTGAGATCATGACTGAGCCGAAGGCAGAGGCTTAACCCACTGAGCCACCCAGGCGCCCCATCCCACAGGTTTCTGGTAAGCCCGACCTGGCACGGCACAGCACGAGGAGGACAAGCGGAGCGTGCAGGTGCGAAGCCCGGCGGGAACCTCCTGTGGTGGCTCAGGCCGAGGCACCACGGGCCTCATCTGGAGAAGCGGCAAATGAGCGAGCACAAAGGCTGATGAGGAAAGAGACTGTCAGGACCTGGTCTGCGCGAGGATAGTAGGTGAACGGCACAGCCACCCCCTTCCCGGAACGTTCCGGGCGCCAGCCACGCCGGTCCGCCCTCCCATGCGGCATGTCCCCGACTCCTCACGCAGCGGCACGGGGCGGGCTGGGGTCGCCCCGTTTGCCTAAGGACACACGGCTGGAGGACTCAAGGGGATCCCGGCCCTGCCCGGCTGCCCCGCAGAGGGATGGCTAGGAGGCGCGAGCACAGGAAGAGGAAGGAAGGACATCATCATCCGCACTGTGGCCAACACGAGTGGCGGGTTCTTGAGCGGGACCCACTGGTGCCACTCCAAGGGACGACCGGGACAGAACCTGCTTCACACGCAGGTAGCCCTGGTAGGGTGGCCCAAGGCTGGAGAACAGCATCCTGGGAATGTGTACTTACAGGAACCACCGCCACAACAGGAATTAAAATCCCTTACCGGACATCGAGCCAGGTCGTGAGACAAATCCCAAACGGCTGTGTACGTTTTCTGAATGAAAGGCTTCAAAATAAAAACCACCACTCACATGGGCCAAAAGCCTGAAAATCTGTGTGTTGTGCTTGTACACATGCTTTTTAATATGTTAACATTTTGAGTTAATGTTATTTAATATAATAATTAATAAACGTTATGGTTCTTGACTTAGGAACCAAAACATCCCAAGAATCAGATTATCAATACTTAGCTTATAGAAGCAAAAACATGAGGCTTCAACTGCCTACAGTATAAGTCTAGCTATTCTGGAAAACATTCCCCTCCGAACACCTCAAAGTGCTGAGTAAGATACATAAAATAACCTTTTTGAAAAAAAGACATTTTATTTATTTATTTGAGGGAGAATGTTTGTGTGTGCATACAGCAGGAAGGGGGAGAGGGAGAGAGAGAATCCCAAGCAGACGCCACACTGAGCACAGAGCCCATGGGACTTGATCCCAGAATCCCAAGATCATGACCTGAGCTAAAACCAAGAGCTGGACGCTTAACCAAGTAAGCCACCCAGGACCCCCCATAAAACATCCTTTTAACTGCATAGCTGACCTCTAGAAAGTAATTCTAGAGGTCCAACCCCAAAAAGAATATTGTCAAAATACCGTCAAACCCTGAAGCTATGGGCCACACCAGGACTACCTAGCCAACACCCAGAGCTTTGGTGTCCTGAACTGAGCGGGGCTAATGAGGATGAGGCTTCAGGCCAGACAAGTGGGGAGCTGGAACTGATATCCCCTGCAAAAGCCCGGGAAGAACCCCTGAAACTCTAACCCTCAGTCAAAGTGTAAACAGTGAAAAATCAATTTGCTGGCAGATAAAGCTGACAAGGAACTCTGTCTTCTCTCAGACATTGACTGCAATAAATAAAAAAGAAGAATGTTCCTCAAGAATCTGTCATCCCAAGCCTGCCCTGTTTAGCATCCGAGTTTGAATGTATTTTTCCTTTCCACAGGCAGTCGATCTGAAGTGCTTGGATGTGAGCAGCAGTCCAAGGGGCCTGGCAGAGTAAGTACAAACCCCACCTGTGGGACACAGTCCTGACCCCTGTCCCTCAGCATTCACAAATATTGGGACCAGCCACAGAGCTCCTAATTAGAAACCATCACAGGAAAAAAGGCCCCATGAAGAAGAATCAACTAAAAAAAGCAGTAATAGGGGCACCTGGGTAGCTCAGTGGGTTAAAGCTTCTGCCTTCGGCTTAGGTCATGATCTCAGGGTCCTGGGATTGAGCCCTGTGTCGGCCTCTCTGCTCAGGGGGGAGCCTGCTTCCTCCTATCTCTCTGACTGCCTCTCTGCCTGCTTGTGATCTCTGCGTGTCAAATAAATGAATAAAATCTTTCAAAAAAAAAAAGCAGTAAAAGACTTGGACAATCCTTTGCCCCCACCCAAGTACTGCATTTAGATTGAAGAGACCCAGAACATAAAAGAAATATGCTTAAAATTTTAAAGAAACATAAAAGGGAATTCAAAACAGAATAGTAAGTTACTATCAGAAATGAAAAAGAATCAGGGCGCCTGGGTGGCTCAGTGGGTTGGGGCCTCTGCTTTTGGCTCCGATCATGATCCCGGGGTCCTGGGATCGAGCCCCACATCGGGCTCTCTGCTCGGCAGGGAGCCTGCTTCCCCCTCTCTCTCTCTGCCTGCCTCTCTGCCTACTTGTGATCTGTCAAATAAATAAATAAAATCTTTAAAAAAAAAAAGAAATGAAAAAGAATCAAAAGAATTTATAACCTTAGTTGTGATTAAATAGCAGAGCTCAAAGAAAATTATTGAACGAGATGACAGACCTGTGTAAGAAAGACAGAAGAAAAGATAAAAAATAAGAAAGAGCAGAGTCCTGGAGGACAGATATAAAGGTCTGACCTATATCTAATTGGGACGCCAGAAGGAAAGGGGATAAACAGGAGGCAACATGTTCAGAGACAAGGACTATTAGATGCCCAGAACTGATGAAAGGCCTGTGTCCTCAGGAGCACAAGCCCTGACAAAGATTAAAGGAAAGAAATACACTGAACACACTGTGTGGTGACACAGCAATGCCTCAAAGACCAGGAGACGACTGTACCATGTCAGACGAAAGGCAAATGACCAGATACAAACAAGTATTAAAAACAAACCTCTCAGGGCACCTGGCTGGCTCAGTTGGTAAAGCACGTAACTCTTGATCTCAGGGTTGTGAGTTTGAGCCCCACCCTGGGTGCAGAGATTAAAGATAAAGTCTTTAACAAAACAGAGCAAAACTTCGCAACAGAAACGATGGAGTCCAGGAGACAATGGAAGATCATCTTCAAAACGCTGACAGAGAAAAACCATTAGCTTTGAATGTACGCCTGTCTAAACTCACAGACATAGAGACATTCAGACAAAAAAGTCAAGTGTACAAGACACTTACCATGTATGAGAAAGACCAGACAGACATCATAGAAAACTATAGACCAATATCCTTCATGAATACAGATACCAAATGACTACAATAAACTATTACTGAGACGACTACAGCACTATTTTAAAAAAGATACTACATCACAACAGAGTGGGGTTTATAGAAGTAATGCACAGCTGAATTAATAATCAAACTCAATACATACAATATGCCATATTGGCAGAAGAAGAAAATCATGTTATCTTAACAGATTCAGAAAGAGTATCTGACAAACTTCAATACTCATTCATGACCATAAGGCT